CCTAACAGTCCTCAATCCTCCAGCAGGTGAAGGATTGACGACTGTTAGGGTTATTGTCACTGCCTAAAAATACACAAATTGAGATTATTTTCTACAAATTATGCGTATTTATAATTTGTGTACTTTCACCCATGATTTCCCATCCTAAAAAAACTTCTACAATGAAAATCTTACAGTGATTATGACATCAGGTCTACGCAATGGGGACGAGGTTGAATCCCCTCTTTCAGGGATGCCATTACTGCTGACGGTGAACTCTAATTTACCGCCGTAGGACGTCAGCTGTGGATGGAAAATCCAGGCAATAAATGGTCACGTTGCAAACAAAACAAATCATGAAGGTACAGTCCATACGACAAGCTAAGAATGCAACGTGTCGCTGAGGGGAAATCACACTCAGTGTTTACTTTGTATAAAATTTGACAATACAGTGAAAGTTTAAAGTGCTTAATGGGCCTTATTTCACAAGTTGGCAAATTGGAATTGACAGTGAGGTTAACTTTTTTATTTGCCATCTGAGAATAAAAATGAAAGCACTGAAGTAAAACTGAAAAACTAAAACCTCCCTGACGGATTCTTTTAAATTAAATATTGTAAAAAAAATTTAATTCAGCAAATTTTAGCGCCAAAACCCTAAGAGAACAACTCCATGAAATAAAAGCAAGGATGTCGGGCACGCGAGTAAGGCTTTTGATTTTTTTTTCACCCCAACATCATGCTGAATGAGCCTGAAGAAGCCGCATTCGCTTTTGAATATTCCCCTCCCCATCGACACCAAAAGCTGGATATGCCGCTGTTCTATCTAAATTTTCAAGCCACATTTTAAAAACAACGAGAGTGAGGCGTCAAACCAAGATAGTCTGGCACCACCCATTCAGCAGATTACAATGGGAACACAGCCCTGTGAACGTCTAGTGCAGCACAACTTGTAAATTATTAAAAATAAGCACTGGTCTTCTCTAATTTTGAAAAAGATGTTACACGTCGCAATAAAAAGCTTGAAGACACACAGACAAGGAACTCAGATTTAGGGCAAATAGTTGGATTGACGATGATTTCGCAAAAGAGGTTGACCGGTCCGAGCTGACCTTGTTGCCTAAGTAACTCTCCGGTGCCTCCCAGTAGATGGCCTGGTTGGGGTCGGTGCCCGTGCCAACATCCCCTACAAGGACGTTGATCAGGTTGCCAGCTTGCCGGATCAGAGGGGACTTCATGTTAGTGACAGTCCAGTCGTCCATGTCAATAAACTATAGGAAAAAAAAAGTACATGACATGTGCAACAGAGTCTAGAAAGTGTTGGTCAGACTTCATGAGCTGATTTTTTTCAATGCTTCTGCTGTCACAGGTGACTGGTTGACATAGAAACCAAACCACACACAGCACCAAAACAAGAGATAAAGTTGGCCATTTCCGACACGCTGACATTTTCCCTTTACAAACCATTTCTGGGAAACGAAAGTCTCTTCTGAATAAAATAAAATAAAGCATTATCAAAATGCAGCCTGTTTTCCCGACACCCGACTGACGTCTGCTTCACTGACCAAAGAATTAAGGGGTTGAAGGGTACCATGCATCAGTAAAACCTAACAACAGGGCACTCAAATGGTACAATTAAGAGGCACAAATTTGATATTGATACAAATTTAGAAGTAAACTGCGAGCAAACCTTAAAAGTTTTAGATAAATACAGCCATTTGCCTTTTGTGTAGTCTTAAAAACAATCTTTTTTTAATCACCAACTGCTCTGATTGGATTTCTGTTCCAGTGTGTAAACATTTGTTGCTTGGCTACAATAGTTAACTACTGCTCGGATGCTGGGTTTATGAGATATCATTCTGCAGTCGCCATCACTGGCACTGTCCACCTCACGAGTCTGAGCTTTTCACAACTACGTCTGTACAGCCTGGGTCGGGCTACCTTTTCTCGTGACCGGCCGTAGCTGCGGCAGTCGGAGGAGTGACCAAAACAGAAGCAGCTGATGCAGCCCATGGGGTTGGACGCTTCCAGGTAGAAGGTACCCGGCTTGCACTGGTTACACTGCACGCCTTCTACGTTCTCCTACACATGGCGATAAAAACATCGACAAGTTCATCACTAGGCAACAATTTTACAGGTTAGTTAAATTTCTCCTATTCGGGTCTTTTTTTTTCCAATCAGGTTTGGATGGTCTTTCGGCATAATAACTCGTTTTATTTTAATAATTCCCCTAGTTTGGCATCCTTATGTTTTCAAATCCCTGCAAGTCCACCACACGTCCATCACAAGCCGGCCAGTCTTTAAACCAAGTCATAAGCTATCCAGACGGCCTGAGACCAAGCATTCCATGGTCACTGTTTGCCCAACCACTTACGACCAGTCTTGTAAAATGACTTGCGAATGGACCTGTGAACGGACTCAACCATAGCACCGACAACTAAAAGGAATTACGTGAGTGGAAAGTTCTTCTGTTTCTACTGACTTCCATTCTCTAAGAACCATTTGAAGGTATACGACTGAAAAGCAGTTCCAACAACTACTATTTGTTAAAAAAATGTTGGCTCAAAATGACCAGTGCTAACACTTCCTGATAACACCAAATCAAACTGCCCAAGTTCAGCTGCAGCTTTTCAGAGGAAGGTTTCGAAGTCTGCAGCTGGGGTCTCGTACCTTGCACAAACACTCGGCGGTGGCCTGGTTGCAGATCCCCTCCTCCGTCCCGCTGACATCACAGAAGCAGGATTCGCAGAACGGGTAGCGGTGGAAGCCTGGCTGGCACTGATCGCACTGCCGGCCTCCAATGTTGGCCTTGCAGCTGAAATGGGGGCAAAAACAAGAAAAACATTGTGAAGATTTTGACAGCTTCTAGTTCCCGGCAAAGTTCCAAACCTGAAATTATAATTGATGAGGTTCTCGGAATTATGATTTGAGAGGTTTTTTGTAAGGTTCCTGTTTAAAGAAGTTCCAAACTTTAAAGTTACTGGAATTACAATTTGTAAGGGTCTTGGAGCTGCACTTTGCATGATTCTTTGAAAGGTTCTGGTTCCCTAATAAGTTCCAAACATGGAAGTCTCGAGAATTATGAGTCAGTCACAAACAAGAGCATTTCAAATTTCTTCCCAATCTGTAGTTTACTTGTTAGATGTAGTTAAGACGGTGCATGTCACAACAAACCAATCCCGAGTCATCCACTCTCAACTGAAGCAAAAAGCTATTTAAACCATGACAGAGACATTTGTGAAGGTAATTCCAAGTTTTAACCTGTAGCATTTGAGTGATTTCATCAGTCTGAAAGTTGATGGCTAACAAGAACGTGATACATGCAGGAGAAAAACTGTTCCACTTAGAAAAGCGGACAATTTCTCAAGAAACAGATTGACACACTTTAAGTAGCACATTACGTGGGACGAGAAGTACAAAAGTGTACGAAATAGACATCAACACTGTTTCAGTGGCTTTCTGACTCACTTGCACTGGCCACTGTCCTGGTTGCAGTTGAAATTTCCGTCAACGATACCACGGTCATCACAGTTGCATTCCTGTTTTTAAAAATACCACCAAAATACGACAACTACTACAAATGATTGCAACAAAAACCTGTGAAACTGCAAAATTGCAACCCATCTTTCACCAACTCTGACAATCCTACAGGGCTAATGAAACCCCTGTTTGGCTGTGAGAAGACTTCAAATTTTCTGACAAAAATTTTTTGTTTAAACAGTTTCAAAATGGCCAATGAAGCTTGTTTGACGACTGTTCAAAAATGTTGTGACACTGCAAAGGAATAGCCATTGTGGCAGCTGTAATCATCCATTTCCAAGATAGTCAAAGTGTTGCACAGCTAAACAACTTTTCATGAAATCCACAATACATCAATTGCACAGTTACGCCCCAAACTTTGAGCCATATGGCGCACAGTGTAAAGTTACGCCAAGTTTTTCAAAATCGGCTGCAAGGAAAGTTTGTGTAGAACATATCTGAACTGGCCGAACTTATTATGCAGGAGGACTCACAAAACATTCTCCACAGATCAGGCCATCAAGCTAATTACCAAATGTTACAACTGTACAGTCTTGCATTCGTCCTACTATAGCAAGAACATTCATGGGGGAGATAGTGAGGGTATCTAGGGTCTACGTGATGACTTACAGCACAGCCAACCAATGGGTCATAGCCGAAGGTCCGCTCAGCACAGCGATCACAGCTGCTACCGACCACGTTGTCCGGGCAGATACACTCTCCGGTTACCTCATTACAAACTCCTGACCGACAGCGACATCCTGCAAGTCACAACGAGGAGCCGCACTTATTCGTTAATTTTCTTTGTTTCTAAAAATCGTGTATTGTAAGGCCATATCGTGAAAAGGCTGGATATTGAGGTTATGGCATCTTGCCAATTTCTGCTTCGGTTTTTTCTTTTTTAACGGTTGGATCAGAATGCCATGCAATATCAATCAATTAGAGTTGACAATCAGTGCAGGCAGACAAAGTGGAGAGTTTACTGGGCTCAGCGTTTACCAGGTTTGGTCAGGATTTCCAAAGACGAAGGCTGGCATCAGCCTTGTCTTTTACTCCCTCTTGCGTATTAAACTTACATCTTTCCCCAACAGATCAAAAATTTGCCAAGGGAAAGCTACATGTGATACCCCCAAACACAACAAACATGGCGGGCACCCACATACACCAAAGAGTGCCCAGGATATAGAGATGGCCATAGTTGGTTTCTCTCCATTCAGAATCTCGTTATATAAGCCACAGGATTCACAAACGCCCACTGTCACAAATGCCCACTGTGTGGGAGTATTGAAATACCCGACAGACATCAAAACCACCTCTGTGACTGTAACATTTGGGCTGCCTCAGTCTTTGGACTAACGCCGTACAGTATGATGCTCCTTAAGCAACACCAAAAGTCTGTAGTGAAATTTTTAAGTCAAGGGATTAAAAATCGGAAGGAAGCTGAAAAAGGGATCAAGCCAGGATTTAGAAACTACTGAAACGGAAAGGACTTGTTGAAAGTGGGAAATGACAAACTTACTGAAGCAGTTGGGAAAGTCGTAGAAGCCGATCTTGCAGCGGTCGCAGCGGCGGCCAGAGATATTGGGCCGGCAGAGGCACTGGCCGCCCAACTGCTCGCAGTTGAAGCTCTGTGAGCCCTGGCGGTTGCACTCACAGGGCAGGGCGCCGTTGTTGTAATCGGCCGAGAGGGAGAAGGTAGCCTGGCGGCAGAAACCGCTGCCGTCCGGCCTGTGGAGGGGACAAAAGGAGGGATTCAATTGATGGGCAATCGGTCAGTGTGTGGCCAGAGGGTGTGTGGTTGAGTGGTCAAGCCCAGCTCAGACACACCTCAGGGGCATTCGTTCAGAAGCTCTGTATGTCTGTTCTTATCTTGGACACTGGCTGTGCCAATGCAAGGGAACCAGATGACAGCTTTGTTAATACTGCTCTTGAAGAGTACCCAAGTAGATATGTCACGCCCACAATTATGAGCGAAAACCACATACTCCATTTGTTTGCACTGCACTTTGTTTGCACTTCCTGGTTCAAAATGACATCACACTTTGGCATTCTATTAGCCAGTTCAACAGTCAGTGCCAGTTCAACAGTCAGTGCCATCATCATAAACATCCCCACTCAAGAAAGTATACCGTCAGTCAGTTAAACAAATTTGTGGCTTCAATTCTACGCACTGGAACTTCCTTGAGAACTGCCAATACACAACCTCAAGACCTGATTATTGTCAACTTGGTTTGGATTTGATGGGCTATCCACACCTGCTGGACAACCGGGCAGGTGGTCCGAACAGACATGGAGGGCAAGAAGCACAGCGGGGGGGGGGACGTGATGAAATCAGGGGACGGAGGCAAGGGCACAGGAGGGACAGGGTTTACCTGATGTAGAAGTTGTTCTCTGCACAGTTGCGGATGAACTCCCCAGCCCTGTCCTGTGGCTCCTCGATGAGCACGTCTTCATTGTAGGAATTCTCCGGAATGGCGATGACGTAGTCCTTCAGGAAAGCAAGAGTGATGTGTCCATAAATTTCAACACTATTTATTTTCCTGCAAAGAGACCTAACCCCCAAGTCAAATTCCAGATGAGGTTTGTTTCTATTATTCTGAATAATTTTTTTTCAACCCTGCTTCATACAAAGTGCTCTTTTTTCACAATAAAATGTTTTAAATCAAGTGAGCTTTGCAATTCTATGAAGCAGACACTTTGGTTGTAACCAGACAGAAATGAAAGATTTTCTTGAGATAAGCAAAGTCCAAATACACACCAGCTAAAAGGCCTTCTTAAACACAAAACTGGTCTCAAAATTCAGACTTACAATCCAGACTTTGCCTCTGCTGCCATCGGGCAGAGAGATGTAGTATCCCTGGCCTGTGCCAGACAGGTCAAAGGTCGAACTGCCGTCTGGTAACGTGACAACCGCTCGGCACCCCGACACATGAGGGCAGTATTCAGCCTGGAAAGACCCTGCAAGAGTGACGCGATGAAGGCACGGTCAAGTGAAGGAGTGCTTTCAATGAGATAGAAGTATGCCACGAATAATTTCCAAAATACTTAGCAACTGAATAAACCGAAAGCTTATCATGGAGGTAGTTTTCAGTTGAAACCGTGACAGACACCTAGCAATAACAAACGATGTATTCTCGTCAAGAGTGGGGCACACACCTTCTCCATCGAATTCGCCCACAACATTGAAGTTGACGTCCACAGTCGCTCCACTGGGCTGGAAGTAGTGGACTACGTAGACATAGCGACCACCCAAAGGCTCAACATTGTCATAGGTCACAGAGCTCTGGTAAAAAAAGGTAGCATGGCCCAGTGTAAGTATAAACCTGAGCCAGATATCGCTATAAAGTCTGTGCACACACTGGACCTCTATGGGTGAGAACTCAGGAAGGCCTGTTTTGAGGGGAGAACAGCCGTGAAATTTCTTTTGGGGCATCTTTGCTGAGGTCTCTACAGCAACATTCACTAATTGCCAATATTTTTACAGTTCTTACAAGGTCAATCAGGGTAAGGGTAAATCTTACGAAATCCAACACTTATGCAGTAATCCAATGGCTTTTCTCTGGACACAAAAATTACATGCTGTAAAAGTGGCAGCGCTGATGATCTATAGCCTGAAACCATTGTATTCCAACAAGAACTATAAATTGGATTTTGGTGGTTTGGGGAAGGGTCTGGTGAAAAGGCACGACTCCTGTGATCTCTCTCTCACCGATCCACTGCCGTCGCTCGTGATGTAGTGCAGTGTGACGTCGGTGTCTGCAATGTTGGGTGGGAGTGGAGCACTGACGTCAATATCCGATTTGTCAATCCAAACGGAGCCGGTGGGGACTGGGTAGGTGGAACCATGACATCTGAAAAAAAAAAACAAGACATAAATTAAAATAAGAAAACAGTGAATAAAATCCAATGTAATCCTAATTTTATTAGATAAAATGATGCATCATTATGTTATCTTAGTCTCACATCAGCCACTTTCCCAGGGCAACGAACAGGTGGACCATACAGGTTTGTGGCTAGGGTTGTGGGAGGAGTCTGAATCCAATGCAGCCATGTGCTGTCCCTAGGCAGGCCAGTTAACCCCAATATGCCTCTCTCCACTCATGAGTTGAAACAGAGACCAGCATATGATGTTATTAAGAAAAGAACTGCAAAGGGTTCAAATTTAGCACGGGCCATCAGTTGTGTCCTCAGGCAAGCTACTCTACCCTGCTTGCTTCTCCTCACCCCTGGAGTCTAAATGGGAACCAGCATTAACCAGGAAGCAGACCAGCATCCCACAAGAGGAGAAGAGCTTAAACCTTTGATCATTTCTTGCTTTGAAAAATACAAAAACAATTGAGAGTGGAGTATCATCCTTAAACTTGACTTGGGAAGATGCAGATGGGCAAAACTGCCAACGGAACTTTCAAAACCCAAACTACTCACTCTCCGTCGGCTGTGCGGACACACTGCAGGGCTGGTGTTACAAAGTCGTAGGACCACCTGTCAGCAGGAATGGCGATCACTTGGCTCTGCAAAATTGTATATAACATCGTGAATTCTAAATGTGTCTAGTCCTTGCAAAGAGCCACTTCTTTTGACTGCTGATGATAAACCAATCTACCTTTCAAAGCTGGCAGGTATTGACAAAAACTTGCGTACGGTACAGACAAGGGACCAATATTGTCTGCATTCTATTTTTTTTCACAAAATGCCTCACTCCAATAACTTCTTGAAGAGTTGGAACACAGAGATCACTCTTAACAAATGATACACTCTTCCATTCAATCTTTTTTTGCTTTTACTGATAACAAGATTTTCGTCTCTTGTCATTATTTCAGGCCCTCTTACATTTTCAATTTGTCCATTTTGGGTCACTTCAGCCAGTTTATTGAGGTTCTTGTATTTTGCATTTCTATGTCAACTTGATCTCTATTTCTTGACGATAAAACTTACAATTCCGATCAGATCTGGGTTTCCGTCTAGCACCAGCCTGATGTAAGGGTTGGGGTACTCCACGTTGAAGACCATGGGCATACCATCTGAATCCACCACAACAGCGCGACACCTGTGAGAATGAAATCACAGAAAGTAAAAGAGTAGGAAAGATGAGCTTCTTCCTTTGGGCATTTCTTCTTTCTCAAGTGGACAGATCACTCTCTTTACTCTAATGTCCAGGTACGTGTGGTCTAGTGGTTAGGTTCTGCGACTCCCGATCACAGTTGGACTTATGTTGTTACCTCGGTTAAGTCACTTTTACCCCAACTCGCCTCTCTTCACGAGGAGTGTAAATGGATTCCTGTGCAGGCAGGTATGGCTGTTGTGTTTGATAAACCATTTTGCACCTGACATGGCAGCATCAAACTGTACAGAGGCTTTGCGTGGTAGCCATCTTGCAGGGCAGTTCTTTTGTTCCACAGGGAAACCTCCTTTGTGCAGATCCAGTGTAACAAAAGCACTGGCCTGTACAGATGGCAGCCATGCAGACCCTCTATACACCAAAGGAAGCTGAAACCATTTCAAAGATGTTTAGCATCAGTATGGGTGGATGTGTGCTCTTTATACAGTAGATTTCCAAGGCTCTCTGCTTTAAGTCAACTATAAAGGAGCTCCAAAAACCATGTGAATTTATGAAGGCTTGAGAGACTCTTTGCTAAAAGACAGAATGATTAGTTCTTGGGAAAAGTTGGGCAGACTCACAGAAATGAGCAGTCAAAGAACTTGATGTATCCTCGCTGGGTTCCTCCGGAAGAGGACACCTCCACGGTGCCAGTCTGGACTCCCGGCCCTCCACCATAGTATTCGTAGACAAAGATGTAGTCGCCAGGCTCGATGATCGGAATGTTCACAAGGAGGTTCTTCTACAGTGGGGGAAAGGATAAGGTAATTAGGGACTAGGGACCTTGACGGACCAAAGTGAGCGCTAACAATGCACTTGAGATGGGCAGGGCATCCAACCGCTTGCCCTTTGTTAACTGCCAAAAAGACAGTGAAGCATTTTGAAAGGCAAAGCATGCTGCGAACAAAACTACTCTTGCTTATTAAAACCCTGCCCCCCCACACTAGGTTCTCTCCAGGTGCCCTGCTGAATGCAACAGAATGCAATACAGAAGTAACGGGAAACCCGCTAAAATGCAACATTATGCAACACAGCTGAAAAAAGAACCCTGCTGAATGCAACAGAATGCAACCCAGCTGATATGAGAACCATGCCAGGTGCAACGGAATGCAACACAACTGAAACAAGAACCCTGCTTAAGGCAACAGAATGCAACACAGCTGATATGAGAACCATGCCAGGTGCAATGGAATGTAATACAACTGAAACAAGAACCCTGCTTAAGGCAACAGATGCAACACAGCTGATATGAGAACCATGTCAGGTGCAACGGAATGCAATACAACTGAAACAAGAACCCTGCTTAAGGCAACAGAATGCAACCCAGCTGATATGAGAACCATGCCAAGTGCAACGGAATGCTACACAACTGAAACAAGAACCCTGCTTAAGGCAACAGATTGCAACACAGCTGAAATATGAACCGTACTAACATGCAACAAAGTGCAAGAGTGGATTTTGGGGCACTGGACAAACACAAGATAAAAGTAAACAAAGAGCATTTTCGAAACGAGTGGATTTGGCTTAAACTTCCGTTTTGCCAGTTCCAGTCAGACCTTGAACATGTCGTTTCGAACGCTGCTTGAATAACCATCAAATGCGACAACATACAACAACTTTCCACGGATGTATTACTAATGGAGGTTTAATTCTGAGAGTACTGAATCCTTTAGTGCTGAGCTTAATTTCACTTCAACTCACATGCTGGGTGTCCATGACGGCGAGGTCACTGACCCCAATGTCAATCAGAATATCCTGGTCCAGGAACTGCGTGGCGGGGACATCGGTGCCGTCAATGTTGTAGTAGCCGTTGACGCCGCGGACAACCAAGAAATAGTCCGTCGTCGGGTAGGTGTAGTAGTTGCATCTGAAAGGTCAACAAGTCGAGGGAAAGTCGAGAAACTCTGGCTCTGTCTGAATGCTATGGCTGTGGCTGGCAACAGCGTGAGTACCTATGGAGGCCACAGGGCTGGGTGCCACAGCCAGTTCCCATAGACATTATTGTTATGGCAGCCGCAGCCAGTCAATTTGGACATGGCTTCATAACGACTCTTTATTGTGGGTTCAACGGAGGCGCCCATTGACATTTTTTAACCTGCACCATCCAGCGAGCCCACCGCTGTTGAAGAGGAAACCTGACTGCTATTGAAGTCCAACGAGGTAAAAACTGCCCGATCTTGTCCTCGACTGATAGACAGTGGTGGGGTGTGATGCGGTGGCCTTGCATGAGGTCTGAGCCTATAAGTGCATCAGAGCAATGACTAGCAGCATCTTAATTTCACAGACCCTGGCAAAAATGTATCCATGTAGCACCGTTGGCTTTAGACAGCATTTCTCTTGAAATCGATGGGCACATGGAGTGTTTTCTTACTTAATCAAGAGGGACAAAAGAGGACGAGTTTGATTTTGTTTCTCACCTTTCTTGTTGTATGCCGGCGATGCAGGGTTCAGAGACTCGCTGCTGTAGGATGGTAGCTTCGTAATACGCCTGCGGGATCAAGACTAGATAATCCTGTCCAGGAAGAGAGAATGAAAGCAGAACCACAACTTGTATTTGTATCTCAGTGTTAACCATTTTCTAACCAAGCACTGTCTTCCGGGGAATTACGGCGCGATGGGTAGGGGCGAAGTTCAATGGACGAACCTTTCCCCACCGCTGGTTGAGCTTTCCTGGTGACCTGTGCACAGAATGCATCCTGGGTACCAGGCAAAATCGACTGGTACTTGACATGTGGTTGTCGGGCAAACTCAGCCCTGCCTGGTAAGCATTTTTTTCAGTGCTTAGCAAAAACCCGGCACCTTTGCAGCTGTCTGTAATCGGTCTCGGGTGATGCATTATGGCACATTTGAGAACACCGAGAATTGAACCCGATGTTGAATATCTTCCGAACTTTTCCACCTTCACACTCACACAAATACTTTGTCAGACACCCACAACAATCAGGACAATTTCTCACCAGTAGAACACCCTCTGGAGCTTCGATGGTGACAGTCCAGGTGCCAGGATTCAGCACGAAGGGGGTAATCACACCGCCGCCCTCAATGGTTACCAACTGCGGATCAGGGCCCGCCACGAACAGAATATCACTGAATTGTTCAGACCCTGAAAAACAAACAAGAAAAAAAAAGCAAGAAAAATATTTCACATGTCAAGTGCTTTGGTGTTTTGAAAATGTCATTTTTAAACGTGACTGTCTCCTACAGAGTGAGAAGTTTAAACTTACAAAATTCTGACCTGCTTCACAACATCAATGTCTTTGTAGTGAATAGGGATTGGGCAGTGATTATCAATTGGGCATATATTGCTACCTGGGCAATACATACTGGAGTGTACTTTTACGCCACGTCCATAGGTTTTGACTGAAACCAGTAACGCGTCTATGAGAAGTGGACTTAGCAAATTCGTTGCCAACTTCCAATGGTGTACATACTCACTTTGCTGTGCCACAAACTTTCAGCTGCATTCGTCTAAGTTATCAATTGGGTAAGTATTAGTGATTGGGAAGAAATTGTTCAGTGGGCAATAATAAGCCGGTAAATTGGTTTCATAAAGACAGGGTCATTCGAGAACGTCTGCAAGTCAGCATACGGCTGCGCTGATAAGGCAGACCCTGGTGTGTGAGTGCTACTCTTTCTAAATGGCCTCCGACGTGATTCAGTTTGGGCATGCTCTGTTGGAATGCTGAACGGGTTCATTGTTGATCACGCTCTTCATACAAAACAGGAGTGCCGATATTGTGAGCAGACACTTTATCACGGCAGAAAAGATTGACACCAACAAATCGTTGGACCTTTAGAAGTTATTTACAGAATCAATACACAGCGGTAATGAATAATGAATGTGCCTTTCAACACCATGAGCAGTGCGTTTTGGCATTAGTTTATTGTAAACTTACCCAGAGATGGATCTGAGGGCGTGATCGTCAGCCTTCCCCTAACGTTGGAATCTCCACGGTAGACATAATGCAGAACCAGATGGTACAGGCTGGAGGTCGAAACCTCGACCGTCCTCACTACAATGGGCTGAGCAAGAGGGAGAAGGAGAAAGGTTATTGGCTTTAAGCAAAAAACTGAATTGATATCTCAAGTGCTGTAGATACACAGAACAGGTGGAGTGGAAATCCGCTGGGACCAGGTTTGATTCCAAGCAAAGTAAACTTCTCACTGATTGGTGTATAGACAAAAAGGCGGTGCTGGTACCTGAATGGAAGACATGACAGCATAGGCAAGGTAGGAGAAGCCCGGGAACTCTGTCTCGTCAAAGCCCACGCGCAGGCGGCGACCCTCGGGAGTCGAACCCCCCTCGATCTCAAACTTGTGCTGGTACAAGTCGGGGAAGAAGTGGGTGGGTAGAGGCCTGGTTGGGAGGGGGGAAGAAGTTGGTATCGTCAATTTAAGTTCGGGCAAGGATCAGAAGCAAAAATTTTACACTTTACAAGCTTGACTGTAAAATTCACATGGCCTGCATTACAACCCCCCCCCCAAAAAGTAACCCTGCCCACATATGTACCCATTTTTGTGTCTGAAGGAGGGGGCAGTTGCTGCAAAGTAACTTGCTAAGGGACAAGAAAAAACTGTACGATTCCTTCCCTGTGTTTGTTTCACTCGTTCTGCACAGAGTAAACAAATGAAAACAGCTGGGCCTACACATTAACCAAACGGCAAGGACCTTGCCGGCACCCTATATCCCATGTTACAGTAAGGTTATAATGTAATCTGTCACCACAAAATGAGCTGGAAGTTGGAATTTTCAAAAATTCAGATATTGACATTTTTGAATTCAGCTTTCCAATGGTATGTACATGGAACACTCGCTTACTCGTTACACATGATTCCGGTGACTCTGGCCTTGCAGACACACTGGCCGGTAGTCTTGTCGCAAGCACCGTGGCTGCTGCCACCGACATCGCAGGCACAATCTGGGGAATGGGACAATAGTGTAAGTCACTCGACTCATTTCAACACAATGACACTGATCTATCAAACCTGGTACAAAATTAATATTTTCCAAGGCAGAGCAGAATTAAAACCATTGACTGCTTGCGGTATCCACTGCGGCAATGGATTTGAGCCAGCCATGCGCATGCGATCCCGGCAAACTCGGTGGTCAGGTGATTAACACCGCTGCACAAGTAAAGCAAGAGGGTATGGGTTCGAATCCCATCCCAGCAAGCTTGTGATGTTTTCCAGCTCTCGGACCACGGTGAGAATGCAGTGTGACTGTATGTCAGTTTAAAGTAACAGCTATTCTGAATCATTCATGTACAGACATGGAACCGAGGAGTTCACAAAAAAAAAGAATAAAATCAAAGCTGCGCGAGGCTTTGAAGTGCTTTCATATTTGGAATGGCACACTGCACACGGGGAGAAAAAAAAACATTGAGGAAAAATCACATGCCTGCAGACAGGAAAGTGATTGGTACACCAAATGTACAACATGGAAAGCACTTTTTCTGAAAACTACCCAAAGGGGACCCGGTAAACAACAACTTTTTTTCAGAGTTCAAATCAGCAAAGAGCATAAAACAGAGGTAGTGACCCACCATTCAAAACCAGGTTGAAGAATTATGCACTATTATTTGGAAAATAATACCCATATATACAAAGGAACAATGTAAACTCTACAGGAGCCATTGCCAGTATAAACTACTGAAGCTTTCTTTACGATGAATGAGAACTAACGGTGGGGGGGGGCCAACTGTCAAACATTTGAAAACTTCAGCCTCGTCTGAAATGGTAGGCCACACGTAGTTCTACAAACACAGGATTAGTTTCCATGGAAGGCAATTTCTGATGAAATCTTGATTCTTTGCATGGAAGAGAAGACTAGCTGAGGAACATCCCATATCAACTAGTTTGGCTACAGAAGCTCAATGACTCTTACCTCTGCAGCCCAGGGGGTCTTCGGCCTTCAGACCAAAGGTGCCATCCCGGCACTCGGCACAAGAGCGTCCCGCCACCAAGGCCTTGCACAGGCACTGTCCAGAGTTCTGAGCAACGCAAACAAAAATGGACAGGGGTCAAAATTAGAAATTCATCACCTGAAAAAAAGCCTATTAATGTATTCAAAATTTAAAAGCTGGGCTAAAATTTTACCCATGTGAAAGGAAAGAATGGCACCTTCTTTGCACTTCAGCAGTAAAGGTGCGTCAAGGCCCGACTGAAGTAACAATAGCCAATCCCTGCCCTCCTAGATCTGGCAAAATTTCACTGTGCTTCAACAGCAAAGGTGCATCAAGGCCAAGTGAAATAACAACGACCAGGTTTCACCTTCCTAAACTCTATCTAAACTCCTCCCAAATCTGGTGGATTTTGAAGGCAATGAATTGTTACTTTAAAATCGCAAAAGGGTCTTTTCTAATACAACAGATCTTTCCTCAATTGCTAAATCTACGAACGTTTACACTTTGATGCCTAGAGTTTGTTTATGTTTGGTCTCGGCTGCCACCTACCATATCGCATTCCTCCATCCCGTTGATGGTTCCAGCTACGTTGCATTCGCAGGGCTCACAGCCCTCTGGGTTGCTCATCTGCAGGTTCCAGTAGGTGGGCTCGCAGGTGTTGCAGGTGCGGCCCTGCACGTTGTTCTTGCACCTGCAGGCCCCCTGAAGGTGCAAACATTTGAAATGGTCAGCATGCAAAACTTCTGTTACTGCTGCTTATGTCACTGTAAACTGAGTGATTTTGAATGAAGTAGAAAAAACAGTGTCCAAAGACCTTCAGTTAACATTGCCACCGAGAAAATGCAACATACAATCTACAACAAATTGCAAGGTTATTGCTCTGTCATGTAAAGCTTCAAACCATCTCAAACAAATATTAAACAACTTTTCCCTGTGGTTTCCCAAGGCAGACCTTTTGGAACTTCAGGATTATACAAACTGTTATTAAAAATCTCCAGTTGTAAACCAGCACCCAACCTTTTACCATCAAACAGGAACCCCTAGCATTTGTTAATGGGTCACAGGAACAGCTCTGTCAGCATGACTGATGACACACATCCCAACATTTAAGGACGTTCAGCCTATTAACAAGATGCAACAGGGGAGAAAATCTTCAGAGGTTGCTGCATTAGCCACTTGACGCCGGATGACGAGTAAACACACATAATTTGTTCCGTGTGTACACTCGTTTAAGAATTCTTTTTTCACATCCGCCGTTGACGTTTTAACGTGTTGTGCTTGGTTGGATCAAAGCGCAATTGCAAGGTTGAAGAATTTGCGGGTAAAAAAGCCACCCCAGCAGTTTTTTTCGGGTAGAAAATCTGACGTTAACTGGCTATGCAGCAGCGATGCGACCACATCCATCGCAAGTCCTTTTGCAAGTCCAGTCATGCGTTCTTTCACAGGACTGGTCTTAAGTGTCAGGGTCAAGTAACAACAAAGGAATGTTTCTGTCACAGTTCGTTTCGAGTAGCCCGTGACATGGCCTCAGACTAGACGACATGCGAGGGGCTGGGAGGGGGACCTTTAATGGACTCGGTTAAAACACTGATGGGCAGTCGACAGCAGCAGCACAAACTGTCCCGTTTGAGAGTGTGAGAGCTGGTCCCTCTATAAACAGTGAGCCACTGAGATCCTGCGGTTGCACGCAGGCTAGCGCTCCGAGGCTGTCTGGACTTTTGAGTAATCGGGACACGTTGAGAATTTTGTCATGCCGAACAGGTTCCCCACTTTGACAGCTGTTTACGTGGCTGGGTTGAACTGAGGGTTTTCAGCCAGAATATGATTGGGGGTGAGGGGGTGTTAGGGTTAAAGACGGATGTACCTCCACCAAAGCTTCGTTGATTAAGTACCGGTGTGCTGGTTGTAACTCATTCCATATGCCTCTCTGAGTACACAACAGCAACAAACAAACATGCATGCAACGAGAAACAAAAGGTTAGTAAATGTTTGCGAGTTAGTAAAGCAAGGATACATGGTCATAAAGGGACATATTATTGTCAACAAAAGGCTGGTTTTAAGTTATTTGTTACAACAGGCATTTCAATTTCACTCATGCAAAAGGACCAAATCATCTGCAAAACATGCGATGACTTTACTGGAAACGGAACTGAATCAAATGACAACTCAATTTTAATAGTGGTCTGTTTTGTGAGTATTAAACATTAGTCTTACAGGCATAATGGTATGAAGCCAAAGGGGCCACTTTCCAAGAATTACTGAGTGCAGTTTTCTTGACAAAGATTGCTTTGCTGACTCAATGTCATATGATTCACAGCTGAGTCCCAGCTGACTTCTGGTGTCCAAAGACCTGGCTACGGCTGTGGCTTTCATAGATGAAAATATCACTTCAAGCTGCAGCCGTAACATTTGGACACATTCTTAACCTTCTAAGCAGTATTTCCTGCTATTAAAAGAGGCTACCGATGAGCCTATGAAAATGATGTCAAAACTTTCACGGAGCCTCTCAGCAGAAAAATATTGCTTTAAATAGCAACTTGACGTGAGCAGATATCAACAGAGGGCCAGTCAGTGGCAAGCGTAACAATTTCTGTGTTCCAAGTAATCAGACGAATTTTAACAGTGTGCCAGCAAGAGGTTGCCATGGAGAGGCCATTTTTATTGCACCGCACTGTGGGAAACGGCCTACAAGTTCGCCAAATTTGAATTACTCCCGATGCTTTTTATAGCCACTTAGCAGATTTGTGAGTTAATGTCTAGCAGCGGTTTTAATTAATCCTGTCTTCTTTCCACTGCCTGGAATGCCCCGATCAATCCCAAATTTTCTCAAGTCGTCTTCTGATACCCTTACTCAAATGCAAATTGTGGCAAGTCGGCCCGTGTTGTTTGTTGAGCGCAATTTGCAAAAATGGCCTCTACACGGAAGCCTTTTGGTGCGCACTGTTTTTGTAAATCACCTGCATTCCTAGATACTGACCCAAGATTAGCTGTTCCCATTGACACTGCAAGCAGGGTTATGTGTTAATCTTTTTTTGATTAAAACTATGAAAATGTGAGGTCGGTCGGCATTTTACCCCTGTGGACGAGCCACATCCCCCAAGGGGTTCACCAGGGATGTCAATCACACCGGCCGGGTCGCAGTTGCACTCCTCGCAGGAGGGGAAGTTGTAGAAGCCCTCGGCGCACTGCTCACACATCCGGCCACGGAAACTGGACCGGCAGGAGCACTGGCCGGTCCCCTGGTCGCACATGATGCTGAGGGACCCGCGACGATGGCACTCACAATCTGCCAGAAAAATGTGAACAAACAAAGCCGGACTGAGTGTGGAATTCCAATTCATTTGGAAAGGCTTTTCTGTACTAGGAGTCATGCTTCAAACCTCCTGGGACCCTGGATGTGGTGTCTTACCGAGGCATTCTGGGTAACGGTAGTAACCTGGGGCACACTCTTCACACTTCAGGCCAGTGAAGTTGGGCAGGCACTGGCACTGACCCGAGTCGTAGCAGGCTTGGGAGGTGGACCCACGACTGTCGCAACCACAGGCTACCAAAACGTAGAAGAAGAAAAGACGGAACATTAAACTGACAAGAATCCCGTGTGCAAATCCATCCAATCGCACCAACTATTTCACAATATACTGCAAAATGAATTTGGAATCAAACGATTTGGGGCAGATGTGCGCATCACTGAAATAAACGGAAGTCATCTTTTGAAATGTTTCTCTTCATAACGACGTCCACACTATTTTCTGACACCCACCAAAGTTATTTCTTTCTAACATATCAACTGCAATGCTCTCAGTACAGAGATGGGATTTTCTGTGTAAATGCATCCTGGACAAAGTTGTCATATCAGTCAAAACCGTCAAATGACCCTACGTGACTGTGTTCTGTGAAAAACTTAAAGAGCATAACGTTAAACAGCAGTTAACATTTCAATCTGCAACCTAAGATGCAGAGCAGTGATCAAAACCGGCCATATCAGCGTTACAATGTTGGTATTCTCATCTTGATACCTTGACAGTTGGGATAATTGTAGTTGCCGAAGGCGCAGCGATCGCAGCGTGGTCCGCCAAAGTTGTCCTTACAGATGCATTGGCCGTTGATTTTGTCGCAAATCTCCACAGTCGAGCCTACTGGGCTGCAGATACAGTCTGAAATGCATAACATGAAGAAAGACAGTCACTTCGCCTATCCAAGTGTCAATCAGAGTCTGAATGTCTCACCTGAGTGATTGATTGACTGATTTCCTTGGGTACTAGCTTAATAGCTATTTGGAGTCTCGTATGATTCCTGTACATGATCTAACGGGCCAGTGTGTAGTGTAATGGAGTATTTCACTGCTTCAGAGGTGCTCAGGGTCGTCGTGTCTAAAAGTTATGGCTAGGGATGGAAATAACAGGCATGTCTATGTAGCCACTTGCTGGTGGCTAGCGGCCTTGTCCCAGAGACGTGTGTTGCAATGCACAGAGTTCCTTGTAAGTTGATTTGGCATGGTGGTTCGTTCCCCACCCTTCACCTCTATGGGCTAGGTTGGATTCCCGGGCCCACCCCTTAGGTGGATTGGGTTTTCAGTCCCTACCCGATTCCAAAACTTTTACCAAAAATATTTTTTCTAGGGTTTCCCCCCACGTCTAAAACTGTCACTGTTTCTCACTGTCTTCTCTCTACAGCTTTCTTCAGGCTTACGAGCAACAGTGCTGAGATGCTTTTAAGGAATCATTAGTTTTATTACCAGAATAAGATAAACAATAACAAACCAAAAGTGAAATTTGGTACATCGGAACTTTTTACGCGAGCAATAACATTTATTCAACTCCTGCCCTGCCCACAAATGCACTGGGGCTTCTTTCTGAAATGCTCCCAAATAGGGTCAACTGTGGGGCCCTGCGGCCAGTGGCTTGTCTGACCTTGGCAAGAGGGGAAGTTGAAGAAACCGTTGCGGCACTCGTTGCAGGTGCGCCCGCCGTAGACCGCCCGGCAGCTGCACTGGCCCGACAAGGCATCGCAGATGGTGTCCAAGGAACCAATCAGGTCACAATCGCAAGCTGTAAAAATTGACGACAAAGATTCTACTGGATTGCGGCACAGAAGCGGGTAAAACTGTCAGAACCGTGACAAAAATGGGGAGTTAGGTTGGTGAAAAGTTCTGTTGGTTTAAAGGGTCTTTTGTGTTGTAATGTGGCTCAAACAGCCTGAAATGTGGATTAATTTGCCATCCCTGCCAAATTCAAATGGCACCTTTTGCAAAGCAATTCCAGTCTTTTCATCGAACATCAAGAACTTAATTTTTATTATATTTCCTGGGGTTTCTTCAGACTTTCAAGATTGAGAGCCAGTAAACTTTTGTTACAAAAGGGAATTACACAATGAAAAATAGTGGACAGGCCGGGGATGAGAAGACCAGCCTTGTCAGATAAAGAGCTTAAATGGACAAGTTATGGGAAGTGGATAAAATTGTGGGAGCCAATTCAGGAAAACAAATTCAACAAAGAATGAAAACCTTGGGGTGGGGGGGATACGTACGGGTACATTCGGGAAAGTTGTAGAAGCCCAGGGCACAGCGATCGCAGTTGCGGCCGGCAAAGTTCGGCTTGCAGGGACACTGTCCTCCGTTGACCTGGCAGACCTTGTTCTGGGTGCCGTTGAAGTTGCAGTCGCAGGCTGTTGGACATCAACAATCAAATCCCGCATGTTGAAAGAGCAAGAAAAAAAAGGGTCTTACCCTTGTAATGAGCAATATGTCAATCTTAAGTTCCCAGAGTTTTGACTGTCAGTCTAGGTATACCAGTTGCCAACTGAAGCAAAATGAAGCAGACGAACTTGGCAAGACAACCTCAACATGCCAAGTTGGATTGTCTGAACTGTTTGGAATGTGCCCACACTTGACACACACACACTCACATGGATCTAAAAACTATATCAGTGTGCCAACATAATAAACAAGGTATCATTATGAATGGTGCCTGACCTCACACCGATGAAAAGAAATTTATTTCATTTATTTATTTATTGCCAAACCTATTTATACCCGTTATGTAACTTTGTAATTTTATAAGAATATATCTTTTACAGATTCATTGTTGTATAATTGACTCCATTTAGCCACTGGGTATGTTTAATTTGAAGTAGACCACTAATTCGAAAGCCATGTAAAACCCACACAGAAAAATTGTGAATGAGAACCATGAACTCTGATGGAGGAAACCACAGTGATGTTGTGTTACCCACTCACAAGCATGGCAGAAGCATACAATTGCAACTCTTTGCCAATGTTACGGGCACGGGGTGTGGCTGCCACATTTTCATTTGAATGTGCACAAAAACCACAGCACCTCGATCTGTTTTTTACTTTTTTATTTACAGTGTGGTCCTTTTTGAGTTCAGAACTTGCAATGAATGCAATGAAACCACAACTTACGTTGGCAGGTTGGGTAACCGTAGTAACCTTCGTTGCACTGGCTGCATCCCGTGCCGGTGTACTGGGGGCGGCACTCGCACTCGCCTGTGATTGGGGCGCAGTTGCCCGTGGAGTAAGTCTGATCGCAGTTACATGCTGTTGGCAACCCAGCAGAAGAAGAACATCAGACTCAAAAAGTTCATCTCAACCTCGATCCTCATGGTATTTCATTTTATAATCTCCCTTCACCCTCCAAAATCATACTGTAAGGCAACCAATGGCCTGAACTTTCGCGGCCACTGAACTTTTTCCTTTTGACACTTTTCCCTTTCCTGTTTTTTCTTGTAGCCATCACCTTTGAGTGGCATTTGGACAAGTGACCTGCCTATAAAATCAGTTTTCATAACCCCTGGGCTCAGCCGTGCCACTCTTCCTCTCAACATAACAGTCTCGAATCTTCCAATCTCATTTAAGACATTTTATCATGCAGCTAAGGGGTCAGGGCAAACAAGAAATGAACAACTTTGTAATCTTACGCTGGCAGACATCTGGGGAGTCCAAGCTGACCCCAGCCTGTCGGTAGAAGCCCGGGGCGCACTGGTCGCAGTTGATCCCCACCGTGTTGTGCTGGCAGTTCTGGCAGACGCCCCCGCCCTCATAGTTGCCATAGATGTCGATGGACAGGCGCTGGGCGGCGATGGTCTCATTGTAGACGCACTCGTTCGTGTGGTCAAAGCAGTTGCACGCTGGACAGAATAAAATGGGATAAATATAAGGTTTTGTGGACATAATGAGGTCGAACATTCTGAATGGCAGTAGCCCACAACAGGGGGCAAGCAAGTTCCAGGAACAATTACTTGTTAACCATTGGTTAATTCTGCCTGGTACCCAACCTTACCCCTTTGGCGTAATGGTATGGTTCCAACTGCCCAAAAGGCAAAATGGCTACTGATTTCTGAGCTGGTTCAAAGGAGGCGATGCAGCCAAATTAAAATGGCATTTTTCCTGAGTCTAACCAGTTGAGGTTTAGCCAAAATATCCTTTTGGCAAACACTTTACTGTCGAGTACACCTTCTGATTTTTAATGTGTTTTGGAGGTGTTGACGGTGTGTTGATGGTCCGTTGCGTGTTGACAGTAATTAGTATGACCGATCAAGAACGAATTTGCTGGGATCAACCATGGAGGTAGAAATAAACCAGGGTATAAAATCAAAGCCATTGAATTAGTGCAAGGAATCATAGCGTACAGAGGCAATACATGTGTATGTTTACGTCGGCAAAATGATGACTTACAGCACAAGTCGGCATTCGCGCAAGTCGTCATAATTTCTTGAGTCCCGAGAGTGCTGATTTAACTGGTGTTTACTGTACTCAGAAAGCACCGGTATGCCTTTTTTGTGCCATTTTTTCATGACTACCCTTCCAAACTTCTGTTAACGGTGTTTCAACCTGTTAACAATTATTTATATTAATAACGCCCTGACTGGCCGATTCCCATGCACAAAGGTTTCAGTTAGCTGCAAGATGTACGGTAGCAGGACAACAAAGGTTCAAACTTTAAGGGTTGAGACAGACAAGCTGGATGACTGAAGTGACGGAGCTACGGCAATCGTCACTCACGTTCACACTCGTTGGCGCTGTCCATGGTGGCCGGCCGCCAGGCCTTTTGGACGAAGCCCGGGCAGCACATCTCGCACTCCTCCCCGCAGGTGTTGTGCTGGCAGGCGCAGACCAGCCGGCCGCTGTTGCCACGTTCGTTGCAGGTGCTGGCATGGCCGTTGCAGACGCACCGGCCCCCGATGGAGATGTCCTTGATGCTGTAAAAGTACTGGTGACACGAAAAACGAACCAGAGGTCAGGATTTAATCCAAGTCTTTATATGTTCAATATTGGAGGGTTGTTGGTGTAGTCATTCTTTCCTTGCCTTTCCCTTCATATGGCATGTCTTTAAATCACTCCTTCCCCCTCATGTGGTGTGTCCCTAAATCGATCCTACCAAGGCTGGGAAAATATGTGACCATGGTTCACCGGTCCCCTCCTGTGCTGCAGTTGGGCCCATCACAAGTCTCCATCACCTGACAGTCAAAGTCTGACGCAAGTGATGTTGGATTTGGCATGGTTAGGAAGTAAATTGCATTCCTTTGTCAATGTTCCTCCCTTCACTTGTGACTGAACTTGTGATGAGCCCTGCCGTGGACTTGACACAAATGCAAGGTTGCTCTCTGATTGAGTGGGTTTCTACACAGACCAATTTTCCTACAAGGAAATAAGTGCCAAAAAGCAAAGACCAGAATGAACAGAATCCGAAGACAGGACTCACTGCAGTGCAGTGTGTTCATTTAATTTTTCTTGTTAGGTAAGTTGCACAGTGTAGCAGTGCTCCTACTCAATTGCTCATGTAGCGTACTTGTACTCATGAGAACACACTCGCATTCACCAAAAAAATTCCACCTGCTAGTACTTGTACTCATGGCACAGTACTCAGGTAGAAATACTTGCACTCATACTCATGGAAATGTACTTGACTACAAAAGTAAAACTTTAACAGGAAAAAATTAAGGGTAGCTCACCCTACGAGTGACAGTGTTGTCTCGCCTGGCGATGGCCATGAGGTGGCCCAACAGGGTGTTGGTGCGCAGGAGACGAAGCCGGATGTTGGTGGCCTTAGTCCATTCTTGGAGGACCTCTGAGAAGGAGAAGTTGGTGGCGCCAGGACGTCCGTTCACCAACGACACAACAATCTGGTGTGCAAGACCGATATTTAAAATTGCCTCCATTCTACTGTATCAGCCCTTCTCAAATCAATGGTCACTGGTTTGGGCCCCTGTTTTGCTAAGCCCGGCCTTTCCTTTCCCCTAAACAAAGAATACTCTAAAGAGGCCATTTCAGTGTCCTCATGAAACAATATCTAGACATTAGAACAGTTAAAGCCATGTACATGTAAGGGCCAACTGAATTTCCGAAAAATCTTTATGTTTGACTATTTGATTTTTGTCAACTGAATTTGCATAGATTTTGATAAACTTCCTTGGAAAAAAAAGGACCTGACACTAACTCCCGAATCACTTTTTTTGCAGGACCTTCCCAAATCCTACAAAATCTAACAATAAGTAGGAACCCTGTAATACAATCTTTGTAATTGTACTTTAACGAGGCTTGACAAATTCCATGAACAGAAACGGTGCACATGTATGGTCTACATATTCCCAAATCCTACAAAATCTAAGAAGAGGTAGATGTATCAGAGTGATCCAGAGGAAACGACTGCCTCCCGAGGGCAATTCTACCAGTGTGGCTGAGAAAAACAAAAAACACCTCACCTCGCCATCCTCCAAGGGCACAATGCTGGAATATTCATCGGTGCAGATAACATCGTCGTCCCGGGTGATCTCCTCGATGGACTCCATGCCGAAGAGCTGGTTGCACTCGCCTTTGGTCTCGGCAAAGTACTGCCAGGCCTGGTAGGTCTGGCCGTAGTCCTTGGAGCGCTCCAGGATCCAAACGCCCGGTCGGGGTGAGTTGGCAAACTTGATGATCAGGTAGGCCACGTGGTAAAGCTGGTGGGATTTACCGGTAAATCGCAGAAGAAAAGAAAGAAGACACTTAGTCATATGCAGTGAGTGGAATCTATTCGTGGATGAAATCTGGACCATAGAACCAATGGTGCAGGTACATGTAGGGGGAGCGAGTTAGCGTAGTGGGTCTTTCCTCACTTTGCACAAATGAAGCCTGGGTTCGAGTCCCGGCTTCGCGTGTATTTGGTTTCCAGTCCATAATCGATCTGGTGCTCCAGTTTCCTCCTGCCTCTACAACCAGACCTTCTTCCTAACTCTGTGATGTGATGCTGATTTTTTAAGGGTTATAAATAAACGTACAGTTATTGATGCGAAATAGCCAGAGTAGCTGATAGCAGCATCAAAACAACAACAATGGTGCAGGTTCATCGTTTATCATTGCTTGCGGAAGAGTTTTGTACCATTTGTCCAGGTACTAAAGAAAAAAGATGTGTGAAATTCTGTCTTTTATGAAATACTGACCACATTAAGACCACTGGTGAAGATGCATCACAGAGGGTTAAGATTTGAAATGAAGAAGACGCCATACATGTACATGGATTTTGTCAGTGCATCTTGAAAAGGAATTTGTCTTGTTAGAAATCTTGGACTCTTTATCCACCGTGCACAGGTTCAAAACACATGCAGGAACAGCAACCATTTTCAGGCAAATCATCGCCAGAAGATAAAGACGCTACAAGACACTCTGTGGTAACCAGCTTTCCTTCTCAGCTTAACCCTAAAAGAGCCCGGTTATTCTGGACCATCTCGTAGTGGGATTCTGCCCCCTTCCCCGCCCCAACTCAGCTGGGCACCCCATGCCTGATTTTTTTTTCCAAATCTTAGCTATACTGTACCAAGTACAGAGTTTCAATCCTCACTTTGACATATGGTTTTGCTGTTATGGTTATTGGAAGTTCAAGGCCACATGCGCGTCAGCCCGCACTACTGAGCACAGCAGTGAAAAGTCAACATGTTTTAGCCGGTCTGTCTCAGAAATGGGTGTTGGGCCACAACGGTATGTCAGATTTTAATGGAATGACTGGAAAGAGTTACTAAAAACTCCTAAAAGCTCAGCTCATAAAAGAGATTAACTGCAGTAATACCAGGACAAATGTGGAGGGCTACGTGGAAGTGAAGTGCAGTGTCACAGTCATTGCATCTCCTCGGGCAGTCTTCATGTAAAACTTCCATTTGGCCAAGGGTAAATGTAAAGGAAAAACTACTCCATGTCTAGAAGTGCCAACTTGCAGGACAATGTTTCAGTTACAAGCACTTGACATGTACAATTTCCTGATATAGGGGACAGCTTTTAAGGGGTTTTTTTTTGGGGGGGGGAGTGCCTTTTAATACGAACAAAATATACTGTCAAGTGCCAGTATGCTTCTGCGTTGGAAAACACATCAACAGGCGACAGCAAAAAGCAATATAAAGCCCTCAGTCTTTGTGTACAGCGATAATACTAACAGGTAATGTGGGTGATTTGACTTATTGCGACCGACGGGGTAGTTCTGACCCAACTTGAAATACAACGAAAACAGTTCCTGTCCTTTTCAATCTGAACCAAGCAATCAAACATAATGGAAAACACATGTGTGGTTAATTGGTTTCCCTTTGTTTCAATCTTGGTATGGCACACAGGCTTAATGACATGTACAAAGCGTATTTCCCTAGGGTCAGCCACAACTACACCTTGAGGTTACCGAAACCAAAACTATCTGTCAAAGTACATGTACGGTAATTGAGTCTTTTTCGGAGATTTGAAACTTGGATAAAATGTCAATGGTATCATAAAGTCCCTATTTGTTCAGTGAATCCACACAACATTCTATGAGGCCACGAGTAGAGGTGGCTAGACAACATGTGTACACTGTTGACATGCTTGAAAATATTTTTGAAAATAACAGGAATTTATGTAATTGAGTGCCATACAGCTCTAATTTGCCTTTACTTCAGTTGATAAGATGCAAATCATTCTATCTACAAACTTACAAACATGCATCGTACCGAGTAAGTACTTCAAGTTTGCCCAAGAATGTACAGTGCTTCAGTCCCTGCCCCTTTAATGATCTTCCCTCAACTGCAAAAGCAGCTGATCCCATTCCACAAGGCATATTCTTGTTGCCAATGGTAACATCTCCAGCCTTCCAGAACGTGACATGTAATGATACTAGGCAGTCCACCCCATGAGGTCTGGACAAGTAATTCCGCAGAGGTCAGATAGGAGCTTAATAATGTGGTGCCTTGCAGAGAACTAGCTGGGAAAGGAATTTATGGCCTACTGTGTACAGGGCAGCAAGACTTGTTTTTGTGCCTATATATAAGAATGGGAGACTAAAACTTAAAGGAGGCATCACTCTTACACAAGACACGAGTAAAATAACAAAATCTACGAAATAATCAGCAGCCTTCAGCAGCGTAGGGTCGAAATAATCAGCAGCCTTCAGCAGCGTAGGGTCCATGGTTATGTGTCTTTGCCTAAAGGTACCCCCTTTAATTTCTCTTGTGTGTATCAATGGTAAAAAAAATATCTAGATGTTAAGCTCAGGATTTCTCGAAGAGACTGTTTGAAAAATCCTGAAATCAGGAGAAGTCTGATGACAAAAATCCTGAAATCTGGAAAAATCCTGACAAATCTCATCCCCGAACTTGCACAAAGCATACATCTACTGGCCTGGCAAACTGAAATGCTCATATACATGTACACACACACGACGACGTACCTTACTTCAAACATGTACTGGTATACATGTATACCGTGTGCAAACATACCCAGGTAGGGGAGGACATTTTATCAGGAGTAAAGTTTTGACTTCCCCATGTACTGTAAGGGTTCCACGTTCCTTTATGTAATAAGAAACAATTTTCTTTTCATTTTGCATCTTCAAAGGCTGATTGAATTTTATGCTGTGTATGTTCCAAACATTTGTGTAACTTTGAACTTACCAGAAACAGTCTGCAAAAGCGATGAATAATAAGTGAGCAAACATGTAAACACCAAAAAAAAATCGATGTCTCTCTTCTTTTCATTACAAATTGTGCACCCAGCCCAGTTCTGCCACATTTACAGATAGGTCAAGTAAGAATAAGTCTCTAACCATGTTTCCAAAGAATTCATACAACATGTGCCTACTTAGTCCTGTCTTCAGGGATCGCATGGATGCCCCCTCCTCCAACACCTCCATCTCTCGACCTCCCCCCAAACTCCCCCACTTTGCACTCCAGCGCTAGACCAATAAGGTCAAGCTGCATTGGGGCCTTAGAATATTAATTTCCTGTATGAAGAAAACAAAATCTAACTGGACTAAATTTATCCCAAGTTCAACAAAGATAAGAATCTCCACTCCTCTCACTACGGAGGCTCTTTGGAGCCACCATGGCTAAAATAATAAAACCAAGTTTAACCGAGGCTCCAGACACGGGGGATTGTGTATTTGGGACCCGGGTTTTTGTCACTTTAATCCTGTAAAACTGGTCAGTCCCCAAAAACCAAAGGCAATGCTCTCTTTAATTTTGTAGAAATTTCAACTTGTAAATTGAGAGAAAATGTGACCTTTACACCGATAAATCAGCCATGCAGATTTGAATCCACCATATGTGTTATGTGTTAAAACATAGTTTCCCCGCATAATTTCCCTCAAAACTCAAAACCCAGCCCTCTATTCACAACATCAACCCTACAGTTATTGAGCATGACGTCACAGTCATCTCCCAAGGTGAATCCAAAAATTAAAATGTAAGTCTCCCTTTCTTTATAAGAACGGGGTCCCCAAATATACAATCCCCCCAGACATGATGATGGACACCTCTGTTTATCTTTCCTTGAGCACAGAAGTATCCGACGAGAGATTCACGACAAATTTTCTTTCCAGTTCAACAGCTCCTAGTCTAAACAGTTCTCAACTCAAATAAATACACAATTTTTATGCACATTACTGTAATACAGGTATTGACAATGCACAGGGCCACTTGGGAATAAAAATAAGTTGGACTGAACTGAAATACTTCCAGGATGGTTGATGTAATGATTTGTTCAGTACTCTGAACTGATCACCATACATGTATGTAGTTCTCAGCATCGAGTACACATACCTTCTGGTGCATGCATGACTGAGATCCTCAATTGTGAGCAATCCGCACTCAGGCCAATACGATAACCAAAAATATTTTCAGATACCTTTGAAGCATTAACCCTGACAGTTCTGCACATCATTTGGCTTGCAGGACTCAGTACTATAAAATACTACACGGTAGTCTGAGCCTGAAGGACCTAGCACTAGTATAAATTACTACTTCTGGCTATGGCTCCCTCCACTGTTACTCGAACAGGGAACAGAAAGTCATGCATTCATAGTGCCATAGCACTGTATGATACATTGTTTATAAATCTATTGTATTTTATGGCTTCAGAGAACAATAAGGTCATGTCCTCTTACAAGCAACAGAGCTGAATACATGTACTATATTTTACTACTAAGTAGTAATTTTTAATGTTATGTACCGGTACTGTTAGGGTTAATGTAGGGCCTTTCAGTTTGCTTTCATTGCAAAAATTTCTGGCCTACAGGGGCCCATTTTTTCCCGTATTTTTTTGAATCATCTCCAACAAGCCAGCCTTCTGACACGGGTGTTTTAGGTTTACAGAGTGTGCTGCTATAGCATCATGGATTGTACATACATAGACTGGGTCAACCTGTTAATCGCTGTTTGGTCTGGTCTTGGTAATTGCCCAGAGCACTGTTAAGCCGGTTATTGCAGCCAAATGGTAAATACCAGGCAGGTCCTACTGACAAATCTGACCTATGCCACATGCACAATACTGTACTTTGCTCAATGATTGTTCCAAGGACTGCAGATCACACCAGTGACACAGGAAAAGGAATCTGGTTAAAAGTGCAGTCGCACACTTGGACCACTGTGCATCCGGCCCAATTCAAGGCACTTTAGGAAACTGACCAGACAAACCCAAGTGATATCAAATTTCCCTCCCCCAAAAAAAGAAACAAACAAGGTCTTTCAAAATCTCGTCAGTATGATCCTGATGCTTTCATGCATCCCTGGCCCTGGACACTTGTCCCATCTCAACCAAACACAGACTGCAGACTTGCCAGTGTTTTTCCACTGTCTGGCAAATGTGACATGTGGGTTAAAATGGCTGCCCTCAAAAATAAACAGGACATTCATAGGTAGAATGAGAGTTGGTGTTTAGCAAAATCACATAGACTGTTGTGAAATGTAGGGACACTGGAAAATATGCATATTAATGTTGGGCTTTAACAAAGGTTTGTCATACAGCGATGTATTTAGCAGCACTTGCACACTCATTATAATTGTCTCGGTAGCATCTGATGTCAGAAGCTTCCACACAGAATGGAATAGAATAGAATTGAGTTCTAGAATAGAATGCTTTTTCTTGTTTCAAAACCTTAACAGACCTGGATTTTTCGTGCATTTTGTACAAGAGTCACAGAGAGAACTTAGCAATCAATTGGTTACAATGGTGACAGGTAAAATCTTTGACCAAATCATTCAAATGATCAGTTGATGACAAGGGCTTACTTTCTCTTCAACAACCCTCTTCCCCACGACAAACATAGGCCTACTTCTGAATCCAACACTTTTAAAGCATAACTGAATGGCAAATACAGCCTACAGTACAGGCCTTTCGGGCATGCCCAACGAACACGTACGTGTAATTTGAGTTAGGTCCTGAGTGAAACAGAAGGGCGTTTGCATGCCCAACTGTATACCCCTCATAAGCAGCAGAGCAATGTCCAAAGCATGAGTGTTGATTTTTTCGAGGTTTGAGTTTCCACTTTCGAGTTTGAGTTTTGACGTTTACAGACTCAAAGTGAGCGTGAAAAATCGAGGCATTAACTCGTACAGCAGGGTACAAATCGAGGCATTAACTCAAAGTGCAAGGTGAAATTGAGGCATTAACTCGGAACTCAAACCTCGAAACTCAAACATCAAAACCTAAACCTCGACACTCGAACCTTGAAAAAAGTAAAATTCCCAAAGCACTAGGCCTATAATTTTCTCACAGGGTCCATACACCTATCTGGTTTGTCCTCATTTCATTCCCTTTTATAATCAAAACCAAACCCCCCCTCTAATCACATCCCCTCCCCCCTTCAGCTTGGATACAGGTGTACATGTTTGTATCTGTGGTGTGTCTGCATTCCATGGGTGTGATAACACAGAAAGGTCACGACCCTAAGAGAGGTCCTTTTGTGCTACTTGAAACCCACACTGACAGTGACACTGTAAGTACCACTAGTATCAAGGGGCATACAGGTCCCTAAATTACAGAGAGCATTATTTTCAGTAAACCATGATGGGTAAACCAAGTGCTACACCTTCGGGCACCACGGTGCTTCGTTCGTTCGCACACACAGTGTATCTTCTTTTAACAGAGGCAACCTTCTGCACATGAAGGCTGTGTAGGAAGTAGAAACATGTCCAAAACAGTAAAAAATAAAATAAAAAAAAACCACATTGCCAGACATCTGATTTAATGTCCTCAATTTTTCTTTCTGTTGTACCCAAACTACAGATCTGCCACAGTCCAACATTTAAAATTTACATTTTTGGATCAATTTTACGAGTTCGCTTAATTTTAACAAGAAAAAAACGAGAGAACCTTTATGGACTAGGACAAGTCTGGCTGAAGACAAACAAGGGCCAGCTTTGTATAGAGCGGGTCAAGCACACCACCAAATGCCCCTTTTTACAGATCTCTGAGCACACAGGATGCATGCATGGGTTACTGCCTTTTGTGGTATGCCACAGGAAATGGCTGGCTTTTGTTATGCAGCCTGACTCCAGCCATGCTTGACTGAGCAAAGCCCAGCCTGTTGACACAGCAGAGGATCCTGGTATGGGGGCCTGGGACAGAGGGACTACATGTAGTAGGAAGTAACAAGGACCAGTGTGACCCCTTCTTCGTCTTCTGTACGTTCATAACAGATTCATTGAATCCATGTATAGCCACTGGAGAAGACAGAGTGGCACAAAGTTAATTGAAGTCCCCATAGGCTAGTATGTGGAGAGTATTCAGAGACCCTGTATTCAAATCCCTGCTTTTGTAACACCATACAAGGCACCTCTCTCTTTGGATTTAACCTGCTTGCTTTTGTAAGGCTGTGGGCACGGGGCAAAGCATGCATGCCTGTTTGTGCTCTTTCCAGTGTGAGGGCCTGTGAGTTTTTGGCTTTGCCACTTTTTTTCCTGTTACTTAGTCTCTGATGCATCTCACATATCTTTCCTTCTTCAACTGGAATGCCAGCGAGCTTTTGTATGGAAACTACATGTCTGATGAATTATTTTGTTAGTCAACGATCTTATGCAATCAAATATGCAGTAGCCTTCTTCGAGCAGTGAAAATTTGTTTATTTCCTCTCTCTCTGTAAAACAAATCAATATTCTTGCAAGCAGGGATTTCACAAGAATGTGAAACACATAACTATGACGCCAGCAATTAACAAGTAAAGGTCATCATGATGGTCATTAGCTTTGAAACGTTTTTTAATGCCACATAATTTACAAACTTAAAGATCTGGTTTGCTGTGATTTTATTGTCACAGAGATTTATTGCATAACAAACTCTAGATTATAATTGAATAGTGTCGAATTTAGTTAGGGTTTAATGGTGTCGATAAAAATGAGTTTATGATACATGTGTGTCAAGGATCGATACTGGCTTCTGATGACGATGCTGCATAAAATGGCATTTAGTGTCATTACTAATGTCCATTGTAAATAATATGTGGGGTATATCTTCAAGAAAACCCTAACAAGAAATATTTGTATTACGCCTTTTCCTCAAAATCCAAATGCCTTAATTTTCTGAACAACAGTCTGATGCTAGATGTACATGTAGGTCTCTTGAATTGGAAGATTTCTTCTCAAACTTTTGCAAGACACAGAAATCTCAGTAAATGTTCCACATATCTACAGTTGGACAACTGCCACAAGGTAATCATGTGTTTTGCTGTCACCGTCTTACCTGTCCTAAATCGATGGTGACATTGACCCCGTTGAAATCCGTTCCCCTGGAGAGGGGAGGGCTCTGCCACCACTTCTCGGTGCCATCAATGGCATACTCGATGGGATGGGCCTTCAAGGGGTTGAATGGGTCACAGTAATCACAGTATTGTCCCTGTCACAGCAGATGAACATATAAATCAACTTGAAATAAGCAGCGAATTCACTTCTGGAATGTGTAACAGTAACACTATAGCAGAAAACACCACCAAAGAATTAAGAAATAATATTTTTGGCCTAAAAATATCTGCAACAAAACCATATAAGTATATGTACTGTATATATGCGGTCATTAGCTTTGTTTGATATGTTTGAAACGGAAAAAAGTTTCAGTCATTGTCGGTTGGGAAAGAATTTCATCGGACGCCAGTAACTGTTCCCTGCACTAAAAGGCTACAGTGACCTAGTAATTACAATACAAGCACTACTGCCATCTGAAAGCAAAACATGTCCAGAAAAAGTTCAATTTACGTGATTTAGGAGGGAAAATACAGAGCCATTTACACAGAAAACTCTTGTCAGACCAGCTCAAAAAGTTTATGCACGAAGTGTCAAGTGGCGTCCGCATACGAAACTCTTTCCAACAAAGATTTAACTAATGTTCCTCATAATGCAGCTCTTTTTACCTGAATAATGTCCCGTTCCGTTTGCCTCAACGTGTCTCCGGTGTTACCGGTCAACTTGCAGTAAAGTTCGCCGGGCGGGGAGAAACCTTCCCCGCAAGTTGCGGTGGCGGTGATGGGCTTGCCTTCGGCCACGTTGAAGTACGTTGGCGTCAGGAGTTGCGTGTTCACGGCCTGGAAGCTCAGTACCATGACTAGGGCGAGGGAAAGCCCGACAAATACGGGACTCGCCATGTTTTGGACCCTGTTTTCTAGAGGAAATACGGGCCACAACTTCTCTTCCAAAGCTCAATTTAATAAATGCCTGACTGCGATTCGTCGGAAATAGGCGGTCCTCAAATATTAAATGGCGGTACAGACTTCGCGTTTCGCGATGGGGACTTAGACTATACCAAACTTTATAGGGGTTATCTCCACTAAAAGTCGTATAAATGCCGATTACTTAAACTTATTACCTATCACTTTTGGATAGATAAAATATCTTTTCTAAATAAAACAAAATTGTACAATAATTTTTCTTGCTTTACATTTAAATATTTATCACCGAAGTGTGCCTATGCTTTAACCATTCCTCTATGCTTTAACAACAGTCACTCCCGCTTGAAAAAAATGTGATATCCCAACATTCTTATGTAAATATCAGTAAACTTGCTCTTAGTCCTACGAACATTTACAAACAATGCAAGGCTCAGCAAAGAAAATTTGAATGAAGCGATAGGAGGAGCCAATTTTTTTGTTGGTTGGTATTTTGGTTGTTACATACTCATACCCTCATTCAGAGATGCAGATGAGGGCCTGTGTGAGGGTCTCTGCAACAGCCTTTTTCTACTAATTCGAAATAACAAATTACTCGAGCCTCCAGATGGCGCTGTTTTGCGTTGATTCCCACGTGACGCGTGATCGAGGCACGCATGCTGTATACGTTATCGCACTCTTAACTTGCGTGCGTTCACGAAAAGTGAACCTCTGGCAATATCTTGAATTTCGACTGAAAAACCTGAGGCCAACCTCTTCCCCAGAGTCAACAGGCGGCGCTATTTCAGTCCGATTTGGCACTGTTATCTATGGGCGCGTATTTGGTGCAGTGCACCATATATTGGCCTACCTGTGATTTTCATGGCAATAGCGCCTAGCACCTGACACTTCTCTTTGATGTGGAGAAACTAATGCAGAGTAGTTTCGGCTGTGAGAACCACCGTTACTGTACTACAACACATAGCTGCAGGCCAGTAAATAGGCCGAAAACTGCATGCGCTGGCGAAGCCACAATTTGTATGCACTCAAATTCTCTAAGAAACAGAGCACTTTGTGGCCGATGAAGATTTGTAGAAAACGAATTCCAACTTGTTTCTGAGTGAGATTTAGATTTGGAAGAAATCGGTACCCGAAAACGGTCCATTTTTCGACTTGAAGTGTAGGCATCAATATTTGTAAATGTCAAGAGCCTTCAAGACTGCATTTTAGGGGTGAGCTTCCGTGGAAAACAATATCTTCAAAAGAAATCAGTTAATGAATAGAAATTTGAACAGAAAATGAAAAATCGTAGCATGGGCTTTAATTTACTGTGCGTCTCGAACGTCTGAGAAACCTGTAAATATTTCGAAATTCAGGTATTTATCACTGTTTGCTAGCTACGGTAGTTTATTTACTGGCCTGCGATCATACGCGGGCACACAAACCATTAAAGAGCGCCATCTAGGGGGCTGTGTGGATCAGTACATAATTTGTTTTTTTCGGATTAGTAATTCGTTTTTTCGAATCAGTAATTCGTTATTTCGGATTAGTAATTCGTTATTTCGGATTAGTAATTCGTTAAAACGAATTAATGTCAGGTTAAAAATGTGTACTCCACTGGTACAACTGGGCTTTCGTGGTACACAATTAATAGCCTACACATTAGGAAGGGCTTTGCTTTCGTGTCTTAATTCCCAACACTCTATGTGTATACGAACTCGACTGAACGCAGAACTGTGTAATGGGCATATCATAGAGCAAAGACTGCATTTAAAGTTGCAGATCAGTATAAGCTGCCGTAGATATGACCACTTCAAAAAATCTGGAAAAAATACAAGTTTCTCTGGTGTTCACTGCAGGACATATCAAATTAAAGCTCACTTCCTCATCTTCGTTTCCCTTTTAATTTTCAGTTGCTTAACGAATTCTGTACAAAAAATCGCCCTTCCAAACAGTTACAAGGCCCATGGCCACTCTGTAATTTGATACTTACACTCCATTGCATAATGAGCGATTGGGAGGGCACCGTTTGGTCCAATACTCCAAATCCATCCATCCTCATTTACAAACTGCAGTCTATGACGAACCACTAAATCCACAGAGATTTTGGGCCTGTTCACTGTCACGTTTAACCGTTAAACCACAGCGCCTCGCATTACAACTGCAAAGAGGGTAGCCCCTACAGCCCGAGAGATGACCCCTGGTTCGCGCGTCTGGAATCTGTGAATTGGACGATTTGCGAAAATTCTGTTATTTGAAATTGTCAGAAAGTTTATTCTGGAAAAGCCTTTGTTTGACAGTAACGAGCCAATTACCTGTTGCAAACTTAAAATCGAAACAGAAACATCCAGACATACCCCACTTCTGAAATTTATACTAATCGACTGTCGATGCACTTGTGTACTGGAGAAACAAAGAAAGAAAGATACAATTCTGCGACTATTCAATGGATAAATGTTTACTTTTTTGTTGAGGGAACGAAGCGTGCTAATTCAATGGTCACAGAGCCACATGAATCACGATGCATCGTATTTCTCATAACAGTAATTTATAAGATCGATTTTTAGAGTAAAATACGATTCTGACAAAGTTCGAATATACATTCGGTTGGATCATCATTTTTCTTTTTTCTTCTTTCTTCTTTAAACAACACCTTTCTTTTAACACAAACAGGGAAAGGTCACAAAATTCTCACGTGTTTGGAGAGCATGCTAAAGAGACTACAAAGTAGCAATGACAGACTGTCACAGTGATGAAAAGCCAAGGATAACACCCCAAATCCCTTGATTTATACCGTGAAAAATGACTTTTCCAGAAAAGAAAGGAAACAGCTTCCACGCAAACCATCTTCGGGGTAAAAAAAGTATAGACAGGAATGCGGACGCTGAAGAGGAACCCATTAAAAATACCAAAACGAAACAAAGACACAAAACCACAACCCCCTAAAAAACCCAAACCCACAAAAACCAAGCAGATGAACAAATAATGGCAGCAATAATGTTTTGGGTTTTGTTCTTACCGTTTACCACCGCAACAACAAACCTATTGGGCATTGAGAACAACGCGTGGTTAATTTCCTTACACTATGAACAAATGAGCAATGAGTTAATCCACAGCGAGGGCTAATTCGATAGATGTTGACTAATTTCAAATTCCCATTATTTAGATAATGATTTATTTAGATAAATAAATTAGATTTATTTAGATAAATAAATGAAATGAATAAATGAAATCTAATGAATCTTATTGTGCAACGACACGTTTTCAATTTTTGGCAGATTTCTCCGAGAATGCAGTAACGCCAAATTTGCTTTCTTTTTCTCTGTCGTGCTAAGTGCACGTACAATTCAAGGGGCATCAGTCGTTTCTTTTTTTTTTAAAGAACGTTTCCTATTAAGAAGAAAAATATATCTGCCGTATGTTACTCTGTCAGGCGTCTTTGGAAAAACAAGCAAAAGGGTTAGTCTAAAAGTTAATTCAAATTTTAATCAAGAGACATGACAGGCAAATCGAATTTTATTTTCTGAAAATAATTCCACAGAGGCCATTGCACAGTTGAGGGCTCCACATCCGGTACGACGCCCTCGCGTTTTAGTTATTTTTGTTATACATGTGCACGTGGATCTTGTAACTGTCGCCATCCTTCTTCCAAATTATCAGCTCCCTGAAAAAGAAAATCCAAATGAAATGTCTTGAAATGATTGTGTGACCGATGTCCGGACTTTAATAGCCATGCTTAGTCGAGTCTTCTGGGATTTACGCGCCTGAGACCACGTCACATGTGGTTCCCAGAAAGGCGGGCTCGAGAATACTCAGCTCTCACATAGTGATGGGGCATAATGAACATTTTGATTTGGCCCTGATTGTCAGTTTCTTCATTTCGGTGATGAAAATTCTTGATACAGAAGCAACTTTTTCTCCCATAATACCTTGGCTCTTTACGTACTGTTTCATCTTAGTTACTGCTAACAGAAGAGGCTCAACAAAGTTAAGGACTTTAGGGACGCCACAAACAATCCTTTTCATTCAGCACAGCCCGTTAACAGCGCTGCCATGTCTCCCATCGGAGATGCACCGGACATTTTGGACCCGAACCGCCAAAAAGTTTGAAATCGACTTTTTCTATCAATTTTGGATGTTAAACACTCACTTTCCATCAATGACGGTGTCGCCATTCTTGTTCGTTGCCTGGAAGTTCCCGCGATGGTAGACGTAAGAGGCGCTGCCATCCATACGCGTCACTTCTTCAATCGTCTTGGTAACTGTCCCTACGCCATTGATCCAGCTCATGAGTTGTTCCACGGCTATAGGGCGTTGGGGGAAAATAAACAAATAAATAAACAAACAAACAAGAAGAAAAGCACATCTACTGAGGCAACAAACAAAAATACGCAGAACATAAACCAAACAGCGTTGACTGGGATTCCATCCCTAATAATAGGTTGTACGGTAAGGGCTGACACCAAGGTACAAGCGGGTCAGAATTAGCGGACGGTTGCAGCATTCTACGGTGGGATATCCAACTGATTTCGCGGCAAAGAAGTAAACAGGGGGATAAGGTTTCGATACCAAACATATTTCAAACCAAAAATATATTTAAACTTAAATTTGACCCACCTTTAACAAACTCTTGACCAATATAAGAGGATAAAACTGTCTCGTATCCATGAGGGTGCCAGAACGTTTTAACGCAGCGGGCATCATCAAATCGCAGCGGGCATTAATGCGTGTAATAGCACGTTGTTGAATATGGAAATTGTCTACAGTATGAACTGTGTATTAACGGCGGCTGTTGCCATTTTTTCACTATTAACTCGTAACGTTGCGATTCTGTATCCCCATCCCGTTAGTATGTCCTCTGCACCCTGTAGGCCTAACCATTAAATCCGCAGAGAAACCAAGGTAGTAAGCTTTGACCCTACTGCTGTTCTATCTTTCAGTAACAAGCCGCATGGAATAGTCTCAGGCTTATACCTAACCCCGCTATACCACTGATCTCTAGACACTGGATAGGCAGCTCTGCTCTGCGAAATGAAGCGACTGCGTGGCCATCTTAGGTTATTCAATACAATGGCATTTTCCCAAGTCACCGGCTTTAGCGCCGTGCACGAACGCACTGAAGTTTGAGGTCATTGTACTGAATATCCTAAGATGGCCGCGTGGTCACTTCAATTCACACATGGCAGTTACTGCTGAGCTGCCCATCCAGTGCATAGAGACATGGAGGAAGGAATAAGTGGTGGCTACCAATTTCCTCATTACTTATGCAATGAACCTAATGGGACTTGCGCAGTTAATAATTTTCCTCTGTAACATATATGACCCAGGCACGTGCCTGGGCCGTTTTCCAATACTCCACTTCGGCTCCGTCTCAGGCTTCAACTGTTTTTTAACTAGCTGACGTTGAAGCTGTAAGCGCAGTAATCAGTCTAATAGTGCCACAGAACATCAAATAAGATGTAAGAAAGCAAAAAATTACAGTAATCCAATGTAATTTAAACGCTTCAGGCCCACAACCGGGGATTGGTTTTGGGAACGAAGCCTGAGACGGAGACGAAGCCTATTGGAAAACGGCCTTGGACGGTCACGACGCTTCGAAGAAGCCTGACGGCTTTTACAGAGGTCGTTTATGTGTCACAGGTAGGGCCTGGGCAAGCCAGCCAGCCGTTACGTAAACATTTGTCTCTGCCATCTGGAAGATGTTTGTACACATTCCAATGGGAATTGTATTTCCTATTCTTATGGGAGTGTATTTCTGTTTGTCTCTGGCTAAACCCTGTGCATAAAATTTCCGTAAAATAACCTGCAGATTCTGCACAATTTTAACTAGGAGGCCTTCGCTCACCATCTCACAGGTGAGGATGAGGGAACAGCTCCCCTCTCCCTGCGACGTGAAATTTTCACAAATTTGGTGTTTGGATAACTGAAACACACTACCTGAAGCACTCATTGAGGTATTACAGTCAAAAGAAAAATAATTGTAAACATATATCAAAGAAGATGTATTTGGGGAGGCAGACTCCGCCCCCCCCCACTATTTTACCAACTGAGTCACTTTTTTATCAAAACTGGTAAAATTTATTTGTGGTAACGGATGTTTTATCATGAGAAATAGTACTTCCAATGAAACGTTGGACGAATTTTTTAGTTACTGTATGTGGTTAACACAGAATGGAATTTCAGGCTTCTTTGAGACATATGTTTCACAGCCTATAAACTCTGACGGCATGTTTACAGTCTTCAAAACCAAATTAGAGGGAAATCGAGGAGGGAATATCCCGCTTTTAGCCGTATCACGGCCAGTGTGGGTATTTCAAAAATTCGAAGGAAGGAAACTTGCCGGTATGTCCAGTAGCAGAGGGTCCGCCTGGTGGCATGTAAACACACTGATCGTCATACAACTCCATGACGCTGTCCACACTGTTTTGTTCAACGCGAGCAACCCACTCGTCGTCCAAATCCTCAATCGTTTGTTGCACTGTGTGTGGATAATTATTATACCAAAAAGAAAACCCTTTCTGAGAGAAAACAACTTTTTTGTACGGTGATCGCTCGTCCTAGATCCTAGTCACTTTATTTCTGAATTTGGGTGACGATTTTTACGTCTTTGATAGCACAAGCACTACACACATCTTTCGAGCGGCGGTTTTGATATAAGGAAAATAACCGATGCTGTACACGATATGTTCAAAAGGAATAGTTGAAAGTGCAAGATGCAGGTTTTAGCAATTAAACCAATGTTTTAATCTGTGTAATTTCTGCAACATTCACACAAATTCCAACACTCAAACTTTGAGTGAGTAAAGCGAGTGTGGATACCTACCTGTTTGGTCGTCCCCACCTGCGCGGCCAAAGATCGGTTGCCCCAATTTCTTAATTGCCCAGGCGGGATGTGTTACTAACAATTCAACCAGCAGGAAGGCAATCAAGCACGAGGAAGGAGACATGATGATACCAGTCAATGAGTCAGTCCTGTCCGAGAAATCCAACTTGAGTTAGAAGTCTGCGTGTGGCCCCAACGCAACCACAGGGTGATTGTACATGTACTTAATACATGATAGTGGCGGCGGTCCTTTATATGGGGCCTACCGTTTTGTATGCATTTCTAATGAACCCAACGGAAACAGCCCTAAAATTATCGGTATTACTATTAACAGTTGACGTGTAACAGATGGTAGACAGAACCCAGGTATGCAATCAGGAAGACTTCACAAAAGCCGAGTGTTTAACCCCCCCAAAAAAGGTAAAGAGCATGGACCTTTTCACTATTAAATGAATTCATAATTATGCACGCATGCACACAAATGGCCTCGGCGGTAAGAAGCGTGAGCGGGCCATTGAAAAAGTACAGGGATGCTACTTTGATGATCATTTTCTCTCAGGTTTTCTGGCTTTGTTCATTTTTGTCTTCAGAAAATCCCATTGAATTGTTTTTGCTATTAGTTTCTAATCTAAACGGGTTTTGTAGTGCTCTATAAAAAGACTTTATCATCGTTATTTTTCCTGTAAACAAAAGATCGCCGTTTCCTGATGTGGCCCCCTTCCAACATTAATTACATCATATATACTATATATATATTATATATTACAATTACATTATATATAGTTACATAATCTATGAGTGGTTACAGTAAGAAAATTTTCTTATTCCGACAGGCTGTAAGTGTAAGCCAGGTTCGACCCGGTGTAGCTTTTAAGTTTTTGTTTTATTTTATTTATTTTTAACAGGCTTATATGGTATTGCTTTTCCTTTAATTTCTTATTGAGGCAGAATCTAGAATCAGACAGGTTTGTCCGTATTCTGGGCCACGTTTATTGTTGACAGGTTTTTAACACTTTTCAGCCGTATATTATATTTTATTATAGAAATAAAGCATGATGTATACAAGTTACCGGTACAAACTTGTACGTTTAAAACCACACCGTCGACAATGTAATCCTGCTGCACCACGCTGTCTCCAGTTTAGTATCGCTCGATTGCACACTATTTTCATCAAATTCATTAGTTTGTTTTGGCCGTCAAGAATCCCAGTCGCATCTGGCATGGTCATGGTCTATAAAAGGCCATCGTGGACCTTTTCACTGATAACTTCAAAGTGACAAACGCATGCACATAAGCGGCCAAGACGGGAAAAATGGGCAAGAGGCCCACTCAAATATGTTTTAATTGGTGCGCACAAAAATTCAACGTCATTTTCTCACAGATTATGCAGAATTTTGCACTTGTTTCTTCAGAATATACCCTCTAAAATCACGACAGCTTTTACTTTCTGAACTAAATAGGTCTTTAGGACTATATACAAAAAAGAGAGTTATGAAATTTCTTTCTTCAACAGAAATCAGCAGGGAGTCCTTCCATGAGCTTCAAAAAACAAACTGGGCCGATTCAGGGAACCATGCACCATTTAGGTGCGTGCAAGTTCGCGTGCAGGGCAAGTTCGATCAGCGGCAATTTGTTAACCACTGGCCGATTTTCCCTGATGCCCGATAAATATTTAATGCATAGGTTACCAGTGAAAATCGAACTGGAATGATGAATGGAGTTTCCGAATCTCGGCTTCAACGCGTTTCGTCGCTCAGACTGTTTTTTATTCTCTCACTTTAAATTTTTAAGCTTAATTAATAAAAAATAATATTTTGCGAGCAAACTTGACCGTTAACATGTATTGTCGTCTTGTAGAGGAAAGTAGCTTCCATTTACTTCCAACACCAAAAGCGTACAAGTGGTTTGAATGTTAAAGACGAAGTTTAAGACGGGGACGAAGCCGTCATTTTAGAAATGACACTGGTCTTTCGCACATGCGCAAAACGTTAAATAGATTGGTGCATATGGGTACCCCGAATCGCGAAGTTATTTATTAAACACACTCGGAAAGGAGCCCTGTTAAATTATTTTAACCTCGTACGCTCCGAGAGAAAGCAAGTTGTGATTGTTTATTACGTTCATCATACAGCAACCCACTTTTATTTGAGACCAGAAATAAAAAGCTATGACGATACCAGAGGGTTTCCTGAAAAACAACTGAATAGACCCTGATAATTAATTTGAGGGATATTGACCGTTGAGTTAGTACCCTGTACATCTTAATGAGTGCTTGAGCATTTACCGCCATAGCCATTTAGGCGCAGGCGTGCATAATTAGGATTTATTGGCGAAAAGACAATTCCCAGACATTTTGTTTGCCTCATTTCGTCAGAGATAATTTCACTTTATTCTAACTTAGAGGCTATTAACTGTTAAATGGTTTCAATATTTACCACATTCAAAGGATTTATTGGCTACTTTGTTGTTATCACTGCTAAAATGAAACCAAATCTTTCGGTTAAAGAATTAGACCTACGCGATGCTTGGTAAATCATTCTGTATAACTAATGCGCATACCCAGGGCTCTATAGGTGCATTATAATCATTTTATTCTGATTATTTATTTTATTCTGATCTGATTCCTATTCCCTCACTTTTATCTCCTTTGCTATAGAGGGACTCAAGGACAATACATGTACTATTATGAAACTTCAAAACCTAGTAAAGGAAATTCTAAAGGTAACGATGTTTATTCTGTGGGCATTGCGATAAAAGAGCAACAGGACCAGTGACGCAACATATGTTTCATGCAGACTCATTTATTTCGATAATCATTGTGTGTCTCTTAAACACGATTTGACAAAGATTATACGTACCATAGGCCTACTTATGTAAAGTTTACTTTTTCTAAGTTACCATTCCATCCTTTGACACCAACCGAAAAGACACCGATTTTGTTTCATATTCAGAGTATTGCGTCAGTCGTTTGCGATAGATAAATTTTGCCGCTTAAGAAGGCGAAGTGGAGCTCAAGTAGAATTCAAACAAATTTAAAGTTCAAATTTCAACCAAAAGGCATTTGCCGTGATTTTTTTTCCGTATGTGCCATCAGCAGAGATATACTCAAAAACCTGGGCGTGGTACCATTATCCTCGTGCATTTAGCTGGTGTCGGCGCAATACGCGTGGACGTGGATCTTGTAGCTGTTGCCAACTTTCTTCCAAATCATCAAATTCCTATAAAGAAAGGAAGATGTTATAGACGAAGTTTACAATGAAGTGCTATGTGGTGCCTAGCATTGTTCTCATGGGTGCGATATTTCCTGTGCTATGTTACTTTTCCACCCTCCCGTGGAGCACAGCCGTATGCAGACTAGCGCCAACTGCACTGATGCGCCAACTGGTGCGCTGATGAATGGTAACCGCCATTTTGTTTCCACGTTTGCGACGCTCATGTCGCCACTCTGACATACACTCGAGTAGTGCGCCACCAGTTACCTGCTCTCTCGCCCCGGTACTGGATCACTAATTTTGCATGATCAAACATTGATAGGGTAGCGACTGGTTGTGCATAAACACTGTGGTTCGCGTTTTTTAGTATAGAAACAGGGTCGATAGGCGGGGCACTTTGTAAAATAAACTTTTAAATCTGCGTTGTCACATTTCATGTATAGATATAACAAAATGGGAAACAGAGTACCAGTAGCTGTATACGAGGTGGACGGAGACGGCTTTTCGCGCAGAAAGTTGTTTTGTTTTACTTGTTTTCCTTCCTTCTCAAATCCGAACCGATACTCTGAGGGAGTGGACTTTAGCTCTGGTCCTTTTCGGATTTCGCACGCGCATTTCGTGTTCTGTAAAACCAACACTGTCCTCTTCAAATATGGTCACTAGCAACACGCAACAGTCTTGAAAAAATAAAAATAAACATCACCTATCACGGTGGCTTTTAGCGCCGCCACAATATCCACAGGACGTGTCTGGTATAGAGGGTATGCGTGGATGCCATCTTGCAGGTCAGCGCGTTTGCTCCACAGGGTATGCACAAAGGAGGTTTGTGGAACGAAAGAACTGCCCAACAAGATGGCTACCACGCAAGGCCTCTATTAACACTAACCAAATGTGGAATTCCGACATTATCGAACACAAGCATTACAGCATCGACAAGAGCTTACTTTCCGTCATACACGGTGTCGCCTTTCGCATTTTTCCCAGAGATTTCCGAGCGCTGATAGACGTAGTTGGCTGCGTCGTCCATGGGCGTCACTTCTTGACTTGCGAAGTTGAACGTCGTCAAGTCTCCAATCATGACAGCGATGTATGGCTTTGAAACTGTGTGGAGATGAAAGGAAAAATCGCCACTAAGAAGAAGACGAAGAAGTGCATTTTTTTCCAACTAAAATCTAGTGTTGTAGTCGAGTACTTTTTTTGCCGAGTACTGAGTACTGCCGAGTACTAAGATTTCGGAGTGCTGTGAAAATCAGAGTACCTCGCTAGCCAAGAACATGTGCTGGTTTTCCAAGCACAGGTGCTTGTGCTTCCGAGTAAGAGTACTCGCTTCTTTGACTATAAGTACGAAACAAGTACTCTGAAATGATACTCGATACAAGTACTCTGAAATGGTACTCGAGTACGAGTACTGAGTACAAGTACTGTACACTTCTAAATTCAGAATGTATACCGGTACATTGCAAGCTCTTTTGCAGATAAATTGTCCGGTTGCCAGTTCGGTAATTTGCGACCTCAAAAATAGGTATGTGGGTGAAAAACGCCAGAAACTTACGGCTTTTCCCAGAAATGGTCTCGAAGCCTTGCAGCATCAGAGTACACTCATCATCATACAACGCCATGACGCTGTCCACGTTGTCTTCGTTAACAGCATTAACGTATTGAGTGTTTAAAGATGTTATCGTTTCCTGCACTGAATATCCAAAGAGAAATGGTATTAAATATTACCCCAGACGTGGAAAACGGCTTAATTATCGTTCTGTATGCAAAACGTCGGCCTCTGTGAATTGCCCACGGAAAAAAAAGGGTTGAGTGACGCTTATTGGTATTCAAATTTCGAAGGTGATCATTTAAGTCCATTTTCGACCAAAACAAGCAAAAATACAAAACCAAGTGTTTGTAGGGGCCTACTTAGTATTTATCCCACTTTTCAAGGGGGTCATCAGGAGTGTTCAGTGAAGCGCTAGTGGATTTGGCTAGACGTAGGCCTGTATCCCCTTACCTATGACGGGGGAGGGAGAGGCATGGAGCCAAAGTTTAACAGCCCAAAGTGAATTAACTTAATTTGCAGGCATGAGTGCGTGCAAAATTGTAAGGGTACACAACAGAATGCCAGGCGATGCTTCAGAAGGAAGGCTAAAGTGATTCACTGTCTCCGGAAATTAATACTTTGCCGAGAAATCAGGTTAGATCTGACTTACATCTCTTCGTTTTAAAATGTTGCATCACATCGTAATTCTCTCAATACATTGACTTTGTTGGACATACCCACAATGAACACATAACCATAAGAAACAAAACCGAATCGATAAATTTTACTCTTTGAAAATAACACCAAACGGAACTTTTCTACGCAAGTAAAATCTGCTCTAGTGTTTCTTTGAATTCCCATTCTGCGAAGCTGATTTCCAGGCAAAAAAAAACTTAAGGAAACTTGAGACATATTACGACTTCTTTAGGCAGTTTTGCGAAAATGAATGTGATAACGGTTTAATATGCACGTATAAAAGTGAAACACACAACGTTTAATTTTTTCCGGAAATTTGCGGGCCTAAATTTAAAAAAAAAGCATCTGAATTCTTGAACAAACCACTGCATGGATCACACGGCGCATTAATATGAACACTTGAAAAGGAATTTGAATGCCGATTGGACGAATTTGGCCGAGAAAAAATCATTTAGCTTTTAGTTTTTACCCTTGCTCTGCATTTTTTATCGTAAAGGCCAATAATTGTTGATTGTTTTTGAGACTGATGTAAAATACCGAGCATCACCATAGTAAAGCCACAGCACACGAAAACAGTTTAGATAAGCCATCTGAAGAGACGGCTTGCGGTACTACCACGTGGATAGATCTCTTTTTGGAAGTGGTAAGGTTCTCACCGGTTCTTATCAAAACCATACCCCTTCCAAAAAGAGATCCATCCACATGGTGTTACCGCAAACCCTCTCCTTAGAAAGCGGTTTTTTGTGGCTCACTGCTTGTCGCTTTTCCTTTTTCCTTCTCAAGTTAGTCGATTACCCGGACAAAAGTTTAAAAGTCTGCTCGATCTGTTTGAAAGCAGAAAATGTCCAATTTTGGAAACAATTAAAAGGTATAAAATGAGTTTGCAGGTTTAAGGTGTTATCCTTACTGTAAAACAAACGACTTCTGGAAAATCTTTTACGGGTATTTTATTCGGCCATGATTTATGCCCACAACATCTCACTTGACCGACTGAAACTGTACAAACCTCCGGCTTGAATGTTCAATGGCTGAGCTACCAGCACCACGACCAGCATAAAGACACTCAGGCGGGCGGGAGAAGACATGATGACAACAGTCAAGTCGATACCAAAGAGGGCGTGACAATATTCGGATTTACAGGTCGGAGACTGCTTGGCTGCAAAGTGTCGAGTCGATATGTGGTACAGGGAAGAGGCCACAGTTCTTTATGTACAGTTTGAGACTTTTTAATTGAACTTGTCGTTTGACCAGAAAGTATTGGCATCCATAACAAGTAACTTAGCAGGTGGTATCATTTTGTCATGGTAAAGCTAACGTTAAGTGACGGCGTCACACACAGCGCATGCTCTCTTAATTCCAATTGGCTAACATGCCAACTTTGCACCATTTCCAGTTCCAAAGCTTCCATTGCAACACCTTGAGAGTGGGCGCGGTTTCAAGTGAAACGACGTCACAGTGAAGAACCAGAGAGATGTTACTGTTACATATTGAGCAAGATATTTATGGGCTTGTACGTATCACAAAGAATAATTTATGAATATATATTTTAGATTGATCGTTTGGTCGGTTGGTCAGTCAACACGTATGGTTGGCATTTAATGGACCGCGTGGCTACTCAAAAATAGATCACATTCCGGACTTGAAAGTTTGCGGCCTTGCAAGAAGTGAGCGCTTTAAAGGTTGTCTGACAAAGCTATCTGCAAATTCAAAAAAGATCAAAGTAATATACAATACCATGATTCTGTATGCACATGACCACTGAAGGACAGAGCTTCAATGGAACATGTGGTTTGCATCCCAATTATAGATGGAAACCGCGCGGTGCCTTTATTAAGGTGCCTTCACTGGCCTCGTAAACTCGTAAAACTAATATGGCCTTGTGATAGGGTGAATAATATTTTAAACCAGTTTGTACTGTATCTTACAAAAACGTAAAAACAAGGGGAATCGATACGGGTAATGTACACACCGGAGTCGCTAGCGCTTGACCAGTTTGAAATATTTTTAACCACAAATTTGGGACCACTGCAGCGAAGGACATGTCGCGAACGAGAATCGGGAAATGAACGAAGTATTGGAGAATTCCTGCAGACTATCACGGGCATCGGCAGAAGTGGCATATGCGTGCGTTTTTGAGAATTGTGCCCACGCGCCTGCATGATGGCTTTCACAAACGCAGTTGAAATTTTCCAACGAAGACGTCCTGTCCACGGGGCTGGTTAATATCCCCTGTTCGTTCCACACGACTCTTGTGTGCCTATTTGTTTCACGCGGATTCAGATCGTGATCAGTGATCCAGCATTGGTTCACTGACACCTGAACCCTCCTGGTGGATAATGCAAACCATCTTTGGTATTACTAACGCGGTCCAGATCCGTATGAAACAAACATTGGCTTGATCTCGATCTGTGATCCCAAAGCTGGTTTGCTCTGTCCATTATGCGGGCTCTCTCTTTGGTGCCACCAATGAAGGATAACTGATCGCGAGTTGGATCCGTTTCACACGGATCAGGATCTCGATCAGTGATCGTTCGTTTGGCGAGTTTGGGTGTCCAGAAACCAACAAAGGATCACTGATCATGATCCAGATCCTGATTGGCTGAAATACGGTCACGTATGCTTGTTAGACGAGCCCCTTTTTATTCCTCCCCCCAAGAGATGTTCCATTTTAGAATGCTGAATAACATGCAGGGCTACAATTTGCAATAACCCTAAGTTTCTAAGCTTTACAGTTTTTGAGAAAACAGCAGAAATGCAAGGATATTTGAGCGGCTCTTTTTTCTCTTGATTCTGCAGTCAGATGGGCGCTTCGACTCCAGGGTTATGCCGACTATTTCTGACCCTAAACTGATTGAGAAAAATTAAATCCCGCCAAAATATAAATTACTTGAAAATACAGTGCAACATGCAGCTATTATGTGCTAAATGTTCATGTCCACTGACGCATAATCTGCCATCTTGGCAGAAACCCATAGAGCAACTCCACTCTCCCTGTATACATCTCTGACAAATCCCAGAGCGAGTTGCGACACCGGGTATCTCAATTGTTAGAACCAACATTTCCGCCAAAAAGAGCCGAATAAGTCACCATCAATCGTATATCTCGTGGCGGTAATTTCTGAAGACATATTTTGTCGTCTTAAGCACGATTTATAAAGTTCATATCTGTTCTCAATATTTGTTCTGCAACATCGAATAAATTCTTGACCGTTTGGCCTTTCTATTTATCACAAACGGGGACAGATTACAAAGCTCACGTGCGTTTGGACAGCATGCTTCTATGGTGTAGACAGCCAATGGAGGACAACGACGGAAGAAAAGGATACATCTTGAATAAAATATATACTTAATTAAGTATGAGGTGAAAATGTTGTTCAAACAAACATACAAAAATAACAACATAAACAACAACAACAGCAACCACCACCACAATTACAACTCCGGCAAACGATTTCGTCAACAACTTGTTCATCCGTCTTTGTTGCAAATCATGTTACGGGTATTATTCTCGTTGTTTAGCAGCACGCGACCAAGACAAAGATTTGGCACTGGGAACATCCGATCTGTGCTTGATTTTCTTAAACTATGAACAACTGAGCAATGACTCACCACTTAACTCGTCTTCTGCGTATAGGAGGTGATTCATTTATGGAGTAGGCTTATGTTTCTGTTTATATTTTGTTGTTATTTTATTGTTCTATTTTTCCCTTCTATTTCTTATTTCCGAACCTCGTCAGGACCTCAGTTGGCAGGTTTTTTGTTTTCCTATAAAGTAAGATTAATATGTACTTCCAACGTAAAAATATATATTGTAGGTTTTTTACGTTTTTTCTGCAATGAATACCGGCTTTTCCCCCTTCGTTTGGTTCAATTGTTTTTTACCCACCAACAGTCTTTCTTGTGGCGTGTTTACAAGGAGTAGACACCAAATCATTTCGCAAATTAGTCGATATTACAATGACACCACGCAACTTTCTTGAAATGCTGATTTTTAAGTATTAAACGAACGCAAATAACTTTCAATTTCTAACATTTTTTAAGGTTATTCTTTATATCCAAGGGTCTCGAAAGCGCGCAATCAGGGGTTAACTTGCAGGCTCTCTTGAATAGCAACAGGAAACATGACGCAACATATTTGTCATTCAGACTCATTTATTTTCAGCATAATATATTGTCCTTTAAATAAGATTTGATACAAAATTTCACCATGCACATCCCGTTCTGCACGTCGGCTTTAATTTTAGTTTCTTTTGGCTATAAGTTATTGTTTCATCGTTAACACACGCACCCCTGACGAGTTTAACAATTATTCAGGGTATGGTGTTTTTATAAGCAACAGGTGTATAAAGCAAGATGTCAATATGGAACCAGTGCGAGAAAATTGAAATAAACCTTAATACATGTGTTATGGTAGACTTCCATAATTAAAGATCAGTAATCAGATATTATTGTGTCAATATACATGTAACTGTGGTGAGTGCTTTGAAATGTCCTACGTGCAAACAGTGGGAGACTTTGAGACGCTGGTGGCGGTAGACATGGGTCCTTTGCCGCATTGCGCGTGCTCAGAACTATGCACGTCTGCCGCCAGATCAACGCGCGCATGCTCAGAACTCGTAAAAAGGCCAGACTGAGTATGCTTGTCGACACCAAACGCCTCAAAGTCCCTTTATTAAACCCACAAACCGAATAAACAAACATCTTGGCATTTAGAAGGCAAATTAAAGCTCAAGCAACACTCAAGTATGTAACCATTCAAAATCAATTCAATTCACACGACCTCGACGTGGTACCATACCCTTGTGTATTTAGCTGTCTGAGTTATACATGTGGATATGGATCTTGTAGCTGCTGTCATTTTTCTTCCAGATCATCAAACTCCTGCAAAGAAAGGAATGTGTACAATGAAGGGCTGTGCGCACAATGCCAATTACTTTGTTCCTACCGCGCCATGTTTCACCCAGCATGCCTTGCGCGACATTCGGCACACGGGGCCAATTTTCTTTCACGAGGATCCGTCTCGCCATCAGTGGGCCTGCTTGTTTCACACAAATCTGAATCACGATCAGTGATCCCAAAGCTGTTTCGTGCTATCCATTAGGCAGCCATCTTACCCTGCTGAATTCCAAAGGTAATACAACGGGGCTCGCATTCCATCGTTATTTAAATCGTTTGTAACATCAATATAGCTTTGAATGCAGCCACAAGTGAGCGAACCAAGGCGCCTTTGTATTCCTCACGGATAAAATAGCCTCCGATGGCTTCAGTCGGTACAAAAAAAATTACAGTGTTGCAAGTGCTATTATTTGTTGCTTTACGCGCGAAGTCCCCTGCGGAATTGTGTGCAGAGTCATACAAGAGAAATAAAAACGCACCGAAGAAATTAAGCAGAATCAACATGCATCGATTTCTCGAAGCACAGTCACTTGCAAAACGCAACAGTTCTAAAACACGAAAATAAACTTCGCCTACACTCGCGTGTGGGCCTACCTATACCGCAGCGGCACCCGTTGCCGTCCTTTCCACAGGACATGTCTAGTATCAACGCTTTGAATTTTGAATTCTGACAGTAACGATTACTAGTGTACAGTTTTGACAACATGCTTACTTTCCATCATATACGACTTTGCCATTGGCGTTCTGCCCGGAGAATTTCGAGCGTTGATAGACGTAGTCGGCTGCGTCGTCCATTGGTGTCACCTCTTGACTCGTGAAGGTGACCGTCGTCACGTCTCCGATCATTTTAGCTACGTATGGCTGCGTACCTATCATGGAGATGAAACGAAAAATCTGTTGTGCTGAGAAGGAGACGAAGAGGCGGAATCGTTTTATATAACAACACCAAAGATACGTGAGTACAATAAGTCCATGGCTTCGCAAATAAAGTGTCTGATTTCCAATTCGGTAATTTGAGGCTTTAAAAAATAACTATGGGGTGAAAGGAAACTTACGGCTTTTCCCAGAAATGGTCTCGAAGCCTTCCAGCATCATAACGCAATCGTTATCGTACAACTCCATGACGCTGTTTACATTGTCTTGGTTAATAGCATTAACGTATTGAGTGTTCAAAGCTGTTATCGTGTCCTGCACTGTAAACCAAAAGAGAAATGGCAAAGTCATCCAAGACACTTTGGGATTAAAGCTACACCCCCAATGTTTCTCTACCCAAACTCGTAAGAGCCATTAGCGGTATAATTTAATAATTCAGTCTCAGTCAATTTCGTACACACACACACATCAAATGTGTATTTGCCTGCAACTGGGGACCCACTATTGTTCCTCTTTTGTTTGCACTTTAACTATTTTAGAAAACCACCTATATACTTTGTACACAGTTGTCAACCGGGGACCCTCTGTCAATCGGGGACCTTATGTCCTCTATTGTTCGGGGTCCTCAATTGAATGCAGAAACAAACTCACGTGTACCCACACACATGTTTTTCTTTTGCTGACTGGGATGCACTTCAGCTCCGTGCAGATTGTGTCCATACTTTTGAAATTCTAATGCTGTGCACGCAGTTACAAATTGAAGTTCCACTTGAGTTTGTTAAACACTTGTGCACCCCTTGTGGGACTGATATCAGACAATGGACTGTGTTTAGACAGCCTTGGCGAATTGAAAGCATTTGTGGTAATACGGAACGAGAATGCACTTTTTGAATTAGAAATCATGGGCCTGATTTTGCTTCCATGCTCCTTTCATAAATGAATGTAAACTGATTGAACATTTCAAGCGTTTTTCTGTTTTGTGTTGTATTTGTGTGTGTGAGCATTATCCTCAAGTTTCCTTAACCACAGGAGAACAAAGTAATGTCCACACTTTGTATGTAACACAGGTAGGGGGTTACAAGCGGGTTCTTGCACGCGCTCTGCGTGTCCGCAAAGACCATACAAGCCGTGCTCCGCGTCAAACGCATTATTATACTTTGGCGCGCCCATGAGGTGAGTACCCGAAAAAAAACCCGAACTTTTTTGTTCCGCCCGGAGCGGATAGGAGGGCACTATTTGAAATGGAATTTGGAGCAAAAGCAAAAGATTTGACCTAAACCAAACAGCGCCCTCCTATGGTGTCCGCCATGCTTCTAAAAGGCTATACATAATGCAGTGCATAACATGTCTAACGAAAGGATGCTTGTGGTACGAATGCTGCCAAGGTGATCCTCTTTTTTTCCAGAATTCGAGTCCTGAATTCAACATTTCATTCTTACCGCGTTTTGCTATCGTTTGCACGAGATTTTACGGCAGACCAACATTTTAGCTGTATTTCAGCAATCGATACATCTATTTGTTCCTTGAAAACTCACATTAAGCTGATATATTGTATGCAAGTAAATCTTCCATTGTATTTTTTGGGGGTGGGGGCGGGAATTCTATTAACAAACAGAGGGGAATTTCAGAGATGAAATTATGGCCTACCTGGGCAGCCAGGCGAAAATAAATGTGATAGTGGTCATGCATGTTTATGCGTGAAGAACACAAAATTTGAATTGTTTCTGAAAACTTTTTGCACCTAAAAATGAAACAAATCAAATTAATTTAAATCTGAATTCTTGAAAAACAAACACTCATAGGAAAAGCCTCCCGTGAATTAGAATCGCTTTAAAAGGAATTTGAATGCCAATGTGACGCATATTACTGCGGAAAGCCTAGAGCAAGTTTTCTCCTTTGCTCTGCAGGGATTAGGTTATACGGGCAGTTGATTGGCAAGTCAAAATGAACACCAAACATTCAGTAGTAAAGCCTTAACGAACAAAAACTAAACCACTTTGATTCCCGTGTTCTGCTCCAAATATGTCAAGTAACCCCCGACAAAACTAAACGTTTTTCAAGTTGCACTTCAACAATGCAAAATGGAAACCAGAAAGTATCCAGTACTGCAATCAATAAAATGGTATAAACTGACTTTGCCAGCTCGAGGTGTTATATAAATCCCTAAAACGACTGACGCCTTGAAAGCATTAGATGTGTAATTATCTGGCATGAGTTATTCACCCAGTCAAGCATCTACGGAGCTTATAGACTGTTTGAAACTGTACACACCTCCGGCCTGAGTGTTCAGGGGCTGAGCAACCAACATTACGACCAGCAGAAAGACGCTCAAACAGGTGGGAGAAGACATGATGACGTACCAGTCAAATGGATGCCTGTAGATTGGCATGCGATAGCGCGGGTTTAACAGAAGTCGTCGAGCTCTGCTTAGCCACAATGCGTCAAGTGGGTGATTGGCACGGGAAAGCGGCGGCACGTCTTGACAGCTTGAACGCATGCATGTATTTTGATGGACCGTTGTTTGGCCAGAAATTATATATCAGTTAACATATTACATATCGGTTAACATATAATACAGGTATAGTTTAACGAATGGCATCAATTTCTCATGACAGTGCAAGTACCCTTAACAAGCTGGTTCATAAGTCATAATGGCGCCATACCTTTGCATGCTCTAACAATTCCAAGGTCGCATAACCGTAACATTACATTATTTCCAGGTGCATTCTACTAAAAATCGGTAAATTCCGTCGCTTGATATTTTTGCGACTCACCGGAACCAGAGCCTTTGGTATCACACCATTTAATTTTGTTCACTGAGGGATATTTAAAAAATGGAACTGGTTGGACTTCAAGCTGTACATTTTCTTTTTTCGTATCCTTCAATGAACAAGATCAGACGGTGTGATACGGGCCAAGCTTTGCATAGTGCGCGCCGTATCGAACCTTTTGGCATTGGATTTGACCACTGACTTTTAAGGCCCTGAGCTTGTTTTTCATGTTAATGTTAAAGAAATTGAAGAAATTCCTGCACTGAGACCAGTTTGGTGGAAGCAAGCAGGTAGGCCTACTCACATGCACCTCAATGAAGGCCATTTATTTTTATGCACCATATGGCTAGAGCCCCAATCTTCAGAATATATTTAAAACAGGGCTATAAACTTGTTTGACTCAAACGCTATCATAAAAGCTATTTTGAACACTGCGTGTCCGCCAGTAGAAAAAGAGGGTGTATACGCAAAATGTATATTTTTATATGGGCGCCACAAAAAAATGCTTCGAGCCAAAAAAAATAAATACAAAATAAAAGAGCAGCTCACTGGAGGGCCGATATAAAGTTTTATCGATCGTCTGGCAAGAGCCCCACTCCCCAGAATAGATTTAAAACAGGCCGACGGACTTTATTGACTGGATAGAATTCCGCACGCCATTCAGCAGAAAAGTATTTTACGAATGGCCTTTGCAATTATACCTTTTACACGGTCGTCGGAAAAACATGGCTGGGAGTTTAAAAAGAAAAAGAAAGAAGAAAAAAAAAAAAGACGTGACTGGCTACTTCTTTTGTATTTATAACAGAGAAAATTTCTCCCGCCTAAAGTCATCCGATTCTCCGCCCCATTAGAGCTTTAACAGCCTTGAAGACATTTGGCGACCTATAGGCTTGTAGACCAGTAAATAAGCTGCCATAGAGAAATACGTCCAAAAAATCAGGAAAAATACAAGTTTCTCTGGTGTTCAAGACACATATCAAATTGAATATCATTTTCTCAGCTTTCAGGTTTTTTCTTTTTTTTTCATTTTCGCGGCTCATTCCATGACTTTTTAAGACATTTCTCCCCTGAAATAATAAGCTCATCGCCATTTCGAAAATAGATGCATTCCGTTACGAAATAGTGCCCTTTCGAGGGCCCTGTTTTGTCCAACACTTTCAAAAATACAAGACGGTGGTCCTGCCAGTAGCTTAATAATTTAATTCCATCACTGTAAAAAATTTCATGTTGGCTAACAAAAGTTAATCTAACTCTATGTCTAAAATGACCAATTTAAATTTGTCAGACCGGCCAATAACTAACATAGTTTAAGTCAATTATTAGTCCAGTTTGACCAAAGCCAGTCCCTGTTGACTTATTTTTTTATTAGTCCTGTCTTGACTTAGTTAGTCATCGAAACCCGACTTATCTATATCAGTCATTTGACAAATTTGTGAGCCCAAAATGACTAAGTCGTAACTACGGTGATCCTTCTTTTAGCAAACCATCCACTAACGAGTCGTGAAATGCCCAAACAGAAGAGAATTTGACAGGATCAATCTTGAAGGTCCTTGATGGCCCGCTTAATTAAAGTGTAGCTGCAACGAATTTTCTTCGACGCAATTTTTCTGCATCTTTGTACTTTTCTTCAAAACTCTTCCACACTCCTATATGGTTAAATACATTGAAAAACGCACACTTTTAAACAATCAAAATTATGCCTGTTTTCCCGGACAATCGAGGGCGCTGTTGCTGTGAAGTCATCTGAGGAAGACATGGCTCAGTGCATAGGTATTCCTATATAAACTGTCAACCCTGAATTTACTGAGAGGGGATTGATGGTTTCTTATTTCTATGCACACAGACAGTAATGAACAAAAACGCAGGACGTTTTTGTGCACAAACCAATGTAACATTGAGGCTTCTTCCTGAGATGACATCACGGTTTTTCTCATGATTTATACGGAAATAATCGTGAGCATAAAACTGAAAAAGGCATTAAAATACCCTTTCAAATAGTGAAACCAAGTTTAAAATAAGGTTTGCTGAAGCACAAAGGTGCATTTTATAGGTTTGTATACAAAAATACTGATTGCAGCTACCCTTTAACGGATTATAGGATGGATTAGATCTAGGCGCTCTGTGATACAATTTCAGGCTGTATGATCCATATTTTTTCTTCTCATTCCCTCTTTTCTTCTTTTTTGTTTGTTTATTACTTTTTTAGTGGAAAAGGGGGCTGAACCCCCACGAGCCCTGGATCCGCCCCTGGTATTTTCGTGCGCGTGTTCTGTGACTGACTGGGCCTGTCCTTTCGCTCGTCATGGCTTTGCACTGTGATTGGCTACATTGTGCAAGACCTGTGACCACGAGGTTATCCCTTCCTGTAGCGATGCATTATTTGTTTATTTTTTGGTTCACCAATGGCAACACTTTGGTACAGAGCTTTAAAAGGGACATTGGTGAGAAAAAATGGGGAAAATGTTTGTTCAAACGAGAAAATTCATTTGAACTCCAACAACAACAAAAATCCTTCGAACGAACATTATTTTTTCCAATTGTTTTCTCACCCATGTCCCTTCAAAAATTCCGTACTTCCCAGCCATAACTGGACGTTGACGAGCGAAGCCTGTCCTGATAATGTATGAGGGCGTCCTCTCTTCTTGGTTCTTTTTTAAAATCTCGGCTTCGCCTCGGTGTGGTTTTATTTTAATGAATTCAGTTCATGAGTTTAAATCAAGTGAATTTGATGAGCAAACGTCTATCTGAGGGTAAGATCTACAACTTTTTGTTACTCTGCCTTGTCGAGAAAATGGTTGCAATCGTTTATGGACCTTACATACATGCTGAGAGCAACGCTCAGCCTGATTTTTGAAAAGGTCGATATCTTAAGTTAAGTCAACGCGCGTCCTACATCCGCATGCAGCAGAGCTGAGTGAAGTTAATCAGGAAGGCGAAGAAGTTAAAGGCGGGCTGCTGTCTTTTACTATCAGTGAAGTCATACCCTAGAGGTTGGTTTTAAGGAATATCGGTGTGTGAATTTCTCGATTGCTTGAATGGTCGAATGCATGTTTGTCACAGATTTGCCCCGCCACCTGTGCGAAGAAATTTGGTTTGTAAACGGCATGGATTACTCACTTTGCATTAATGCCCAGTTCCCGGACATTTGCAAACGCGAACTTGGCCGACATGTCAGTGACATGTACCCCCAGAATAGCCCCAGAACTGTAGGGTCCGACGTTCGCCCCGCTCCGGGGAGCGGGGCGGACGTCGGATCCCACAGTTCTGAGGGTAGCCAACATAATGATGGCGAAATAATAACTAGCCTGACTAGTGGACAATGTGGCCAGGAACTTTATAATTCCCAATAATACTAATAGCACCGTGGCATGACAGCACCATGTTTTCTACCTCCAGGATAGCACTAAGCAGCCATTGTCACTGATTGTTAACCGTGGATATCCGGATGTGACTCGACTCCCAGTCATGCCTATGCATTAACCTATCACTCAGTCTCTCAGATATGTCAGTCATGTATGTCAGACTGAGTGTAACGTCGTGTTTTCTACTAATACCAGCTAACTTACACTGATTTAGGCCATAGAGCAAGGATGGGCTAAGTCTAAGTGGGCCTTGTTGGGCTATCTACTTAATTTGACTTTTTAGGACATGATAAGCTATACTGACACTGCAAGGGAATTATTGATGTCAGTGTGTGCATCTCTTTGAATAAGCATGACATGATAATGAATGTTTCCTGCTTTAGATAATATTCTTAGAACAGTGTTTATACAAACCTTGCAGATAGCTATGTACAAACTTGCATAAACACAATTTGGCATTTCCTGACCCCATCAAAATGAAAGCTAAGCTCTGATTGGTCATTGGAATGGAAGCAAATTGGGTCAGTGACATTGTGGCTTTCACCTGTGGGTGACAGGAAAACAAAAAGGAAGAGATAGGAGCTGTGTTGCGATTGGTCAAGCTGTCATGCAGCAGACAGTGGGTGAGAGTACATGCTGCCCATTTTCTGTAGTGTGGATGGGAAAAATGCTCAAGAATTTCCCCATTTTAATGAAGATATAATATGAATAAACGTCCCCATCATTCATCAGACATTTAACTTTACCAAGAAGCCATGTATGAAATTTTGTTGTAGGTAGCTGTGATGGCAGAGTAAAGTTGGCACAATCAAAACAGCCAAAATGTGCATATGCGAGTTTGTACATACTATCTGTATTAGGTTTGTATGAACCTTACAGTTCTGGGAGGAGCACAGTGTGTGATCATACAAAGCGCTCTCTTGTTGCTTTTTTACCCAAATTTTTTTACGGATGTTGAAATAAATCTTGACATAAGCCAAACAGGTTGCACTACATCCTGCTCAGACAGCCGATATCAAGGAGGGCTGGTCGTTTTCCAAGATCTTGCTGTGGTGGGGGAACGGGTTATGAAAGTAGAATCTCTGCAGACTGCTAAATAGGTTGCTGGAGTAAGAGCCGTGTTTGTTGAAGAGCATTACGTAGAGTGAATGTGACATTTTTTTCACTCTTTCCTCACAGAGTTGCCAGGCACCTTGTGATGCTGGCAGGCGTCTGGGCGCAGGATCGTTGTCATTACGGTCACGCAGCAGTGAAGCAACCTCCGACTGCATACGTACATGCCCCTGCCTTGACTTCTTCACCGCAACAATGTGTGCATAGGGGGCGCCAGACGACTGCCCTATATGTTCCGCAGGAAGAAGAAGGAGCGCTCGGACCCAAAAGAGGCAGCCATCACAGCGGCACTTGAAGCAGCCATCCAGACGGGCCACCCTCCGCTGAGACAGGGAAGTCGTGAGTCGGCAGTGCACACGTCGCATCGTGGAATACCAGCCGCCAATAATCACACTCAGGTAGAATTTCACTCACTGGTGAATGCGCCATAGAAAAAAAAACCCAGCATTCTCCTCTGAATGTGCACAAACCCATTGCATTTTCCTCTAAATGTGCACACTCTCAGTGTTTCAACTGGTCACCTGTTCTGTAGAGTAGACGGGCAAAAATTATTCAAGACAGGCAGATTTTGGAGTATCGAGGAGTGTTAGGATTAAAGAAACCTTGAGAAGAAAACCCTGGACAAGTATTCCCAGGCAATCCCACTAGGATCAGCAAGGGCCTGAAAACCCAAATCACATCAACCTGTGGCAGTCGGAATTTCGATCCCTGGTCGCAAAGGTAAAATTCAAAGTACACTGCTGATCCCGGAATGACATCTCTTGGGGAAAGACTTTGATTTTTCCAATCTCGGTCAATTTTCTTCTCCTCTGACAGGGAAACACAGACATGGTGCACAGCAATCGACCTGGAGATCACATGGTGCTAAACAGCAGCTTGTTCACTGATGCAGCCTCAGGATTGCCTGGTATGCATTGTTTTTTGGAGAAACAAAAATAAATAACTACGCAGCACTAGACCTGAAAATATGCCAATCAGATAGAGATTTTGGATTGCGTGCTTTCATCAATCCAAAATCAACCCCAACAATGTTCATTTTTGTCCACTATGGTAACTGAATTGTCTTGGATCCAGCTAGCCTGGAGACACCTGTTACTTCCGCAAGTTTAACCCTAACCCCCAAGGGTGTATGTAAAATTGTTTTGAAATTGGAGGATTTGGGACTGTTAGGGTTAACAGGAAATATGACACTTAACCCCCCCCCTGCTTGCCACACCTTCCCATCCCTGCTTGTAGGGTACTGGGGATATTGACCGGTGCTACCTTCCAGGTCGAATCGCTCTTCTGTTTTTGTGTTTTATCACCTTCTAGTGGAGCTGAGTGTAGATTTCTCGGTCCGGTACGTGGGCATGATTCACAACGCTCAGGGTCTCCAGCATTCGGAGGAGGACGAGGTGGACTTGATCAATGCACTGGATCAGGCTCAGGTGAGCAACAATGAGGCTCAGGCTCGTCGGGTTTTCTTGGCGGTGAACCTTATTCAGCAAACAAAAGATGTCAGAGATATCCACATCTCGAGCAAACCACCCTCATGAAGCCCTCATTCTGTGGCATTGCGTAAAGTCCTCCTGAAATTGTCTGATTTCTTTTTTTTTTGTGCGTCAAAATGTTCAACAGCATTTCAGCGTGTTGCATCGGACAAGGGCTTACACCTCTCACATAGGCTGAAAAGTTGGGCGAAAATGACATAGCTCACATTTATGTCCCTCGTTCTAGGTGCATATTATGCCAAATAGCTTGACTGTCAACTCCCTGTACGATTGAAACAAGTCGTTACAGGTCCTGAAAAGTCAGTTTTTTTGTTGTCATTTGTACAACCCCTGTGCTGGGTGTGCCCCAGATCTCCCTCCCACCCCTGCATTGGTCTGCTTTTCGGCGATGTCGCATGAATTAAAGTTTTTGAGTTTAGTATTGCAGTGTTGCTTGTTGTAGTGTTGGGGAGATGTGGCCGAGTGGTTAGGGTTTGTAGCTTCTGACCATAGGGTCGGGGGTTCAAATCCAGCTGGTGGCAGCTTGTTGTGATCTTTGGCGCACGTCACTTACCCCTATGTGCCTCTCTCCACCCAGGAGTAAATGGGTACCTGTGAGGGCAGACACAGGTTTGTTTAGCCGTTTGCACCCAAAGTGGCTGCATTAGGCTAGTGTACTCCCCAGGGAGCTGAGATGGTTTCAGGAATGTTCAGATGATGTGAGCCCAATGTGCATAGGGACAGAGACATTCCGTGAGATGCGTTATATGAGAACTGACTGATATTTTTATTGTTTTATTCTCACGTTTTAGAAGGAGGCCCAATTCAAGCACGCAGAGACCCAGCGGGACTGTGTTTATCTCAATCTCTCCAAGTACGGCGTCAAGATCATTGAGGCGTTCTCTCCAGCTCCGCAGGTAAGCTGGTGAGGCACAAATTTACGTGGATGCCGTTGGAATTTTTTTCGGGGGGGGGTAGGGAGGGGGCAGGGGACCTTATAAATTTAAGGCTATAGCCAATTCACTTGGACATGATCAAAGACAGCGGATCATAAGAGACTGAAACATACAGCATCAGCGCAAACCACCTGCATTGTATGAACTAGTCTGGCAAAAAACTTGGAAGAGTCATTGAATATTGTGTACAATTTCCTGGTTTTTGAAGGTCATGGAAATTTGTAGAAATGAGAAAAGTACTACACAGTTGAAGAATTCTGTGAGAGCTCATAAACCTTGTTTATTGATAATTGAGCTTCTAACCTGTAAAATTTGCTAAGCAGAAAGTAAAATTGTGGTGTCACAGCAGTTTGTCCATCTATTTGTCCTTACGTACTGTAGAATAATTCAGTTAGCAATTAACACAAAAAAACGAGAACAAATATCAAACTCTGTGAGCCGACTTCGACAATTCCTGTTCTGATGTAAAACTTGCCCGGAATGTTAACGGAAAACAGTCTGCTTGACTTGCTGTCATAATGCTTAACATTGATTTGCATGAAGCTGTCATTGACTTGACCTTTTACTTCTGATCAGCTCGTTCGCTGGAGATTCGGCCTGATTGAGGTCATTCGTCTCGTACATTTTGAAGACTCCACCGGCAGCCAGCTGCTGGCCATGAAAATTGGCAGAGAAGGGGAGGACACGTACGACTGTTTGCTGTTTCAGTGTGAGCACCAGGTGAGGCCCAGGATGCGAGTAATTGGCTCACCTTGGAGAAGGGTGTGTGTTAATTGGCCAGCTAAATGCTGTTTCAGTGTGAGCACCAGGTGAGGCCCAGGATGTGAGTAATTGGCTCACCTTGGAGAAGGGTGTGTGTTAATTGGCCAGCTAAATGAGCAAAGAGTGCAGTGATTAGTCGGATTATGAAGAAAGAGTGAAGGCGATTGGTCAGCTGTTGAGCAGAGTTCAGCTGATTAGTTGGCTTTTGAGCGGAGAGTGAAGCGGACTGGTCAGCCGTTGAGAATAGTGGAGCTGATTGGTCTGCTTGTTAGCAGAGTGTGGAGCTGATTCGTCAGCATTTGAGCAGAGAGTAAAACTGATTGGTCAGTGTTTGAGCAGAGAGTGAAGCTGATTGGCCAGCTTTTGAGCACAGTGCCAAGTATTGGCCAATTTTGCACAGAGATTGAAATTAATTGGCCAGCTTTTGAATGATAGTGCAAAATGTTTATTCTGTCTCTCGTGCTAGCTTTTCTGGGCTTTTTAAATGCTCTCTGGGACTTGTGGTACCCTTGACTTCAATTTGAATGCCATGCGTCCCTCAGGTGTAACAAATACCATGTCACACGTCACAGTGGTAAAAAAACAGTTAATAGCCTCTGTGGACTCCTGTTTCTTTATGGACCTCACAGGGTCAGGCGAAGCAGATTTGCCAACTTCTGGAAGTTCTCTTTGATGCCGTTTGCCAAGATCCAAGTCTTCAACCGCTATGAACAAATCTTCCTCCGTTTCCAATCACCGTAGATGATGGGACTGTTCCACAGACCTGGTACACGATAGCTTGTCTCATATTTATATCGTTTTGCATTATTGTGAAAAAAGAAATATTTATATGCTCACATGTGATGAGTATGTAAGTGTATCCAAGTACTTAGAGCTATATTATGATATAAATAAATATATATTTACTTACTGTAAATACTTGGTACTATATTTTGTAGACTATTTTCATTTCAATTATTTGGAAGATTCTATGCAACACAATTTTGTAAAGTCACCACTACGTCTGTACCTTCATTGTCAGTGATTTTTGTGAGCTTATGATAAAGTACAAAGAAGAGACATAATGGAGGGGGGGGGACTTGTCCCTTGCCCTACCCTACTTCCCAGGCTCAAAACCAGGATTACGCTGCTGATCACAGGTTACTCCAAGAAGGAACTCCAACCAAAACCTGGTTCAGTGTGCCTGGCCACCTCAAGCAAGTTTCGTTAACTTAAGAGCCAGTGTTAAAGACGGTCGTGACCAACTACCGTAGCAACTGAGAGCAGAGTTGCCGTGGACAGTTGGACTGTCGAAGCAATCACCCATTTGATGAAATTGTGGATCAGGGTGATGTGAAATTATAACAGCAAGGATGCGTTTGCCCATCACTGGCATCCCTCCGCTAGTGCATGCTTTTCAACGGAGAGGAACAATTTGTCTTTACAAGACACAGAGTACGCGACAGCGAAAAGGATCTGGAAAAGAAATGCATTATATGGCATTCCTCTGAACAGATTCATAAATCGTGTAAATACGCAGTTCCAGATGTTGTTTGCTTTCAAGGGTTGTGTCTGCGGAATATCAGCCAAAAAACTTGCGCAGTTTGTGTGTAGTGAACAGCAAGCTTGCCAAATGGTTCTGTTGTGTCGTCGGTTTTTATGTTCTTGTTTAGCCCCACACGCTCGGCTTATTTAGTTTCCAAAATGATTGGAAAATTTGTGATCAAACGTTCAAAGAAAGCATGTAAATGTGTCTTTGGCAGATTTTTACTCCTGATGTGTGGTCAACTTTTTAAGTCTTGTTTGTGGCATTGTCTTCCATAATTGTCAAGTTGACATGGAAATATCACGAGGCTTTTCAGAAAAAAGAAAAGAAAAAATATTTTTGTGAGATTTGATATCTTTATTTCTATTTTCTGAAATTAAATACTTGGCAGTTAGTACTGTGACTTTTTAGATGGTGCTGAAAAAAAGTAAAAAATGCTGCTGTCTTTACAGTAAAAGTTTTCTTCAATTAACTGAAAGTGCCTTGTTACGAAACAAAATCTATCGTCTGTTCATATATCAGAAATGTGTTGACCTTGTTTACACAGACGTATGCATTTTACCCCGAACTCTTTTAGATCTATTAAAATCCGCTGAAAAGATTTGGAGGATTTTGCAGGATTGTAAAGATCTGAGCCATTTGCATGGGACTTCATGCCCTTTGGAAGTTAGGATACAAACATGCTGTGTGTTCCAGCAGAGTGAAGGATTTCTAAACGTTCTGTCAAGTTATTATTTTCATATATTCACCATTTTCTTTTTCTCAGTACTTGTATTTATGTGGCATTTAGGCCAGGTGTTTTGTCATGTACAGAAACCATAACTTTGGAATCTTTTTGAAATTATGTTTAGAGTAATTAAGAAAGCGGGATTCCAAGATGTTTTAGATGCTTTGAAAGGCTGAACAAGTGCATGCAAAAGTACCTTACTTACGGAGCGTGTGCCAAACTTATTTCAGACATTTTTAATGATAGAAATCATAAAACTTACTCTAGGGCTGAATTTGTATGAAGGTACTTCAGTAGACAGAGGCAGTCAAGCTCAGAGGTCTCTGCCAAATAGTGAATTGGTTTAGGAGGGGATAAAAGTCAAGAACGTGGTCATTGGACGATGAATGCACAAAGGTAAGATTACAAAAGAAGTGATGACTTCAGACCATCACAGTTTAAGAAATATTAAGTTTTTACATGACAAAAGCACTCAAAAAGTTCTCTGTCAGGTGCTTTTTGTGTGCTTATTTGATTAAACTGTAATTTTTAAAAGAGAAAAATGTCTGAAGTCTTGCTTTTTAAACATCTTTCCTGCGTGCATTACCATCCATGTCTCATGTTTTCCAGCTTTATTCACTGCTAACCAGTTGAGTATTTGGCAGATTACTCGACACTTGTTAATTATTTGACAACAGTACTAGATGAAAGCAGCGTTTGTGTGTCTTGGCTGGAATTACGGGAAAGAGGAATATTCAGCATGTTTGGAAAATTTGGACGGCATTGTGGTGCGTCCCCCATCATACAGGGCCTCCAAAATAAGTACTGTACATGTATCATGATTTCTGGAACTGTAAATGTACAGTTTGGCATTGGGCATGGGAAGTCCAGGCCCATTAAAATGATTATTCAAGTTCTGTTACAATAATGGTTTATTTAAGTTCCGTGTGCTTGAATAAGCCTGCAGATTAAAAAAAAGGAGGGGCATTTTGAAGGTCAAGAAACTGTCTAGTGCTCGGCGTGTTGTTTGACGTGAATGTGCATGTAGGTGAGATATACAGTAAAGATGTGCTGCATGAGACGAGCCCAGCACAACAGATATCAGTATTAAGTTTGAAGCGTAATTCTTGTTAACTTTCATTACCGAGTTTCTGCATTAACCTAAAATGTGAACTTAGTACCAAAGGAATCGACGCCTTGCTCAAGGTCTTGATAGTAGTTTGAATGGGTATTAGTGTATGAGTTGCCCTAACATAGAGCTTGACACAGATTATGCACTCCCTATTTTCATGGTCTTGGAAGATAACTGTGGTTGAGACTGAAGAGGTTTTACAGTGAGAATGAAGTATGCATGTAGTACTTGATATTTCTTCCATGGTCGCCCTCTTTGGGCTTGCAAGGATAGGGGGAATGCTTTCTCTGTTAATAGTTTTGTATGTTTATATACTTTTTTACTCTTAAGAGCTACCCCAGTCATAATGTGAATTGTGACGAGAGATTTTAAGAAGGTGGTGGTAGGTCATTAATGCAAAGGCTACATGCAGTGCTTTTTTTGTTTCCAAAGATTGGCTTTGTTCCCAACGCATATTTTGTCTCTGATATTGCTTGTCAGCCCCCAGTGTGCAAACTAAACCCAACTACTTCAGTTGGTTGATGTGCAGTTCAATGCGTCTCGGCTGTAAAAAAACAACTTCTCATAGAACTGTGAACTCCAAAGGCTGCCTGTCATTGTGTCTGTGACAAGCCAAGACAAAGCTAAAATTTGAAAGCCCCAAACGGTTGAGAGGAAATTAAGGTGTATAAAGAATGCCATCAGGGTCATAAAAATAGTTTTCATCTTTGTTGAGCCTGAAATTCACAGAAAATAGCAACAAGAGACAAAGGCAAAGACCTTACTTTACACAAAATAGAAAAAGAAGTCAAAAGTGTGTCACCCGTTTTGATTGACAATCACTAGTAAGCACTGTCCATTTTTGACTTTGCTTTGCTTTATACTTGTGAAATGGAAACCTGGTTTAATTAATGACAAAGCAGGAGAAGCTTCATTTACTCTTCAAGTTTATTCTGGGTACTTCTTCTGTAACATCTTTGAACACAATGCATTTTTATTCCTCGTTTGAAAGAACCTTTGTTCAACTGTGGACAATAAAAAGTAATGTTCAACTTTTTCAGTGACTTGAATCAATGCAAGTTGATGTTGAAGTGCATAAACGTACATGTATATCGACCGAAGTCATCAATATGATCAACTTGGGACGAATTTAGCTGAACAGGGAACATTTGACCCTTTTTTCGGAAATCAGTTCCCATGTTTTAATTAAAATAATGCACTTCTTCACGAACACAATTGCATACAACCAAGTACAGATGTGGGAACCACCGAGTACCACAATAATCATTATCTATAAAATCAAACAAATATACATCTCCACTAAAAGACATGTACACGAGCACAACTTTACAGTTTCAAATAAGACAAAACCTCTCGACTGCTGTTGTGCTGCTTTAAAAAATTCCCATTCTCTGTGAGTTAAGCAAAGGAACCACCGGATGTGTGACAAAAACAAGTTTGGGGGAGTTAACATTTTTTTTTCACTTCACAGACGTGAATGTGTCTACATTGCATTCAGTCGACGTGTAAATGAGGACAACGTCCAACCTGGGCTGGATGATTATTTGAACGGTTTCACTGGGCAATGAACAAAAGCTATGTGCATGCATTGAAAAATGGTTACAATTTGGGAAGGATGAAACTGAAGATCTTATTCTTCATTATATTCTGCCGGTCCTCACTCCTGAGCTTCGGTACATGTATAATCCATGGCACACCAAAGGAGAACAGGTTGAACCCTTACGGGGGCAGTCTTTCACTACTTTTGCTTCAGTCGCCCGTCGATATCAAAACCCAGTTCCATGTTTTTCGGAAAACAAAAAACCCCCCAAAAATGTATGTGAACTTAACAGAACTGCTGAAAAATCCTTGTGCCTCTGAAAAACCCGGTGCCACGGTTATAACTGGTTCAGAGATTGACGGAGGTACTTTTGTTATGAATGAAAGGTAACATTAACAAGGTAGTAAAAAGGTGGGGGATATTCCCCTCCAACATTCCAAATAATGTGCTGCATCCTATGTACCAACAAAGCCCTCTTTCGAGCACATGGTTTGCCGGGATTCAGCCCAATTCCATTTGTTAAATTGTTCTTCATATTGATAAAGTACCTGGTATTAACATAAAAGGTGCCCGGTTCCAAAAATACCCGTAAACACAAACCCCCAGTGAGTAGCTTATTTTGGCACAAAAAGGGTTGTCGGTGGCCGTTAACCCAGAACTGTGGGGTCCGACGTCTGCCCTGCTCCCACGAACGTGGCGACTGGTCCTAGCGACATGATGCATGTGAAAGGTGTATATTCCCCCGTTTAAATATTTCTCATCGGTTTCTTTATAGAGGAAAACAGTAATTCTCATTTGTGAAATTCAGTGGTCTAATTTTATTGCAACAGAAAAGGAAAGCCAATCATAACCAGTTGTGTCTACCCTGCAATTTCATCACTCCCTTTTAAAAGTCAACACTCCTTGTCTTTAAAGTGAGAGGGTATCACAGGTGAAGACCACCCAACTTGTATAAGGAAAATATCCCTGTCAAAAGTCAAGATATTTCGAGATCAACATGCTAATCTGTCCAACATTTGGTGTGTGTGTAGGTCTTTGTCATGGGTAATTCCAGAAATTAGGGGTCCAGTTTTTTCATGTCCCTGTCACATCTGACATATGATTCTGCAAGTTCAGAGCACATTTTCTAATTTCCAAGAGTGATGAATTGATGCAAATTACCTGCCAAACAAATAGTAATAGTTTGAAATCAATTCCGGTGATATTTCCATGTCAAACAACAAAGGTAAGATGTAACAGGGACACGAAAATGTCACACTTTTGGACCCCTAATTTCTGGAATTACCCTCATCATGATGCGAGTTGTACAACATATAGATTACGTATTGTTTGTTGGGAAGGTATACTGTAGGAAAAAGCCCCACTCTGTGCATATTCTAGAGTGCCTGCTGTGATGGAAGAGCAGTTGTTTTGTGGTGAGAGGGCACGTGCAGAACATCGTGCTCATTGTCATGCGCTTTTAACAGTCACTGTGTCAGCTGCCTTCACTTTAACTTTGGGTGGCACGGACAAGGTGCTTCTCCTGCTCATCAAAAAGCTCAGGCATCACTCAAATGGTAACAGAGGCCAGTTACTCATGAGTCACAGTATTCACTAATACACATGTGAGTCACAGATCAGTTACTCATGCGAGTCACAGAGACGTTTACTCAGTGAGTCACTGACATTAGTTACTCGTGACCAGAGATAAGTTACTCATGTGAGTCACAGAGATCAGTTGCTCATGTGATCACAGAGATCACCTAATAATGTGAGTCAGAGAGCCAAACTACTCGAATGAATCCCCGGGCTGTACAGGCTCACGAGTCCACGCTTGTCTCCAGGTGTTCCACCTCATTGCAAATGTCCTGCAGTGCCCGGTCTAGCTCATCCCGCTCCGACATGATGGAGTGGCTGTAGAGTCCCATATCGAACCCTCCAATGGAGGAGGAGGCCTCGCTGTTGGTTCGCCTTGAGCGATGGGGGCTGGTGTAGTAGTAGTAGCCGTTGGCCGCCGCATCCTGGATGCCCATCCTCTCCAGGGCATTCTCAAAGTAGTCAATGTCCTTCTCTGGAATGTAGGGTCTCATACCTTTGAGATAAACACAGCCAGCAGAAGCATGAACGTTCCGACAAAATACCACTTGCAAGGAAACAAGGTGGACCTAGTTTACCAGGGTTGCACTTATTTTTGATTGGTAATCTTTTGATATTTATCATTCATATTTTACAAACACAGTATCCCACAAGGTCTTTTTAATTGTATACTCGGATGTCTTAGATGAACACAACAAAAGGAACTGCAAAGAGAATTTATTTTTCAAGATTCCCAAGACAATTCTCAGGGTTAAACTCCCGCTTATTTCTGAAGGACAAGCCGCATATGGTCTGCTACAAGCGTACTCATTTTTTTCCAATTACTCGTTTCATTGACAGTGTTCTTTTGACTGTACCTGGAAAGAGCAGCTTTCGATCGGGTCCGTAAAGCTTCTGCAGCCTGGTGCAGAACTCCTTGATTGATCCTGTCTGTCGGTAGTCACGTAGGATTCCTGCAAACTGTTGTAGCTCGTCAGACGAGAGCTTACTCCGAAGCTGTTGAGACAAGGGAAAAAAAATTCACAGAGATACATCATCAGTGAGTTATCCAAATCACGCTGATCCTTATCTTTACAGAATTCAGACTAGCTGCCATGCCCACTCCAAGTGGGAAACCCGCTGGCTGTGACGAGATCCAAAAGGCCAACCGTCCCAATGCCAAATAGCCTCGGATTCGGAGGCTGTGGGGTTACTATGCCCCTAGTTCAGAGGCAGCTTCAATGGGATCGGCTTCCAATGTCTCACAATGGACAGATGATGCTGCTACCGTTGACTGCTCAAAGCAAACAGGTCCAACAGATTTGTATATCTGTTGTTCATCTTAGTCAGATTTAAGGTTAAAATTTGTATGGAGGTCGGGAAATAAAACTCTGGGAAAGTGATAAAAAAATGGAAATGTCCACTCACTTCCAGGAATTTGTAATTTTTTGGTGGTGACTCACATTGAGACTTTAGTCAGGATGAACAATGTAGCAGAGGTCACTCCCACCCTGGAACATTTGCCATTTTGGGACTTGGACTAAGACCTGGACAAAAGATCTAAAGAGCCACTGTGCATGCGGGCACTTTATAGTGCGTGCTCTTCTCCAATACCACACTACACGTTCCAGCTGTGCTTGTGCATGCATGTCGGACATGAATCATGGCCATGATTTGTCAGAAAACAACAGGGCGGGTCCGAATGGATCAGTCTATCAAGACTCAGTGCAGGTCTACGGGGATGTGCGTTTCTCTAAAAATCACCAAAGGCATTTCTCGTACCACTTCAATGTACTCTTGGAGTAACACTTTGGCAGTGACGCTCAGATCGTCCATGCTATTGCTCTGTCTCATTGCCGGCGAGCCTGGGTACTCAGACGAAGCTGTGCTAGACCTAAAAACAATGTTAATTATAATTAATTATAACAAATTATAATCAAAATTATAATAGCAGGACAATGCTGATAAGAAATAAACTGACAACTGTCATGACTTCAATTTTGATAAGAGAATAGTGGAAAGTAATGCCTCGCAATTGCAAGCCCACTACCAAAGTTCAGTAAGAACTTAGAAATGACTTGTCCAAGTTCAGCTAGGAAAGTTATTTTCTAAGAGATACATGTCAGCAGTTTGAATTAAAAAATGCACAAGTTTTATGTGAGAAAACTTGGTTTAAGAGACATCCAACTAATTCAGCTTCTCAGGTAAGATCAACTGAAATAGATTTAGATTTAGGTATTGAATGCACAGATGGCAGACTTACGGGGGCGGCTGGAAGACGTCAGGATCAAGGGCTGCCCGGCTGACCACACTCCTCGAAACTAGGCAGACATCAAGGTGGTAATAATTACAATCTGGTGGATTTCTGATTCTCGGTGAAACTTGTTCACAACAATTGGAGCTAAGAAAACGCATACAGCCCCCTGCCCACATTGATCCACACGTACACCATTAATACTAATCTGCTAAGTACCATGTAAAGCGGTACATATAAATGTCCTAAAACATGAAAATCACATACCTATCCATGAACTTTGGATCGAAATCTGTGTTGCCGGTATATTTTATATCCCTCTAAATTCAACAACGCACAACCGTTGCCTGTTTAATGTGACGCCCAATAGGTCCAACCACCCCGTGTCCAAATAGGCTTGGCATCCCAGTTCACTAGCTGCCATAAGATTGCAAACGGACACTGCTTACCAGGACAAACTCTGAGTAACTATTTAGTACTGCTTAATTATGATGTACAAATGCAACGAGGTCTGAGGATCCGTGCACCATGTTGTGCTTGCAACGTCAGACTGACTTAGGGTTGGCTTGGTTTGGTAACATAGTTTTCATCACGCTCTGCCTTACCACTTCCGAGGGACGTGTTTCTTGCTGCCCTGATGATGCTCTGATCAAAGTATTTCATGGTCAGCTCCGTGTAGACTATGTAGAAAATCTGCTGGGCCAAAGCGCACACTTCATCGGCACTTTCCTGTTGAAATATGATACCATTGAAATGGGACTTGAGCATGACATGGACTAACCAATCTTGAGAGCCAGACTGAATAGAAAATCTGACCTCATGCTGCTATCTGGGCTTCTCAAGACGTAGGGCAAAGCAGCAGGAATGAAAACAAAATATTGTTATCCAGTTCCCAGCCCAGCTTCTGGCAGGACACTTGGTTTCCTTGCCAATTCAAGCCCTCATAATCTTCAGTTGTCTCTCAAATGAAGACACTACATGAAATGTACAACTTTATCAGAGCACAACATTCCTAGGCCATTTGGTCACTGAATTGAAAACGTGTATGTTCGTGTTGATCTTTGACTGGGTGCTTCAGACAATTCGAGAACCACTGCCAATTTCTGTTAAGTGCAAAATTTCTTTTCAAGTGCCCTTAACCACGCAAAGCTGCACTAGCAGCTCCAAGCTCAGTTAAATGGGTTGGGCCACAATTGTGCTGTATACTGTTAATGCAAGGACAGGAGAAAGTCAGGTGTCCACTTGCCTTTGATCGACACTCGAACACGACCAGGTTGCATTGCTCCTGTTGACTGTCAGTCGCTGAAATACGGTATACAAGTACAAAAGATTGGTAGAAGGTATCTCCAAAATGCATATCATAGTGCTTTGCCATCAACCATTCCGAGCTTTACTTGAAATCATCATAACTGGGAAAAAAACCACACAGAATGGAGAACTGATATCCGTCTACACGTAGCCATGTGCCATTAGTTTGTACAGTAGTTTGACCTTGACTGACTGAAGTCGGCTTTTCGTCCAAAAGGACTTGTGAGATATGTACAACTTACCAATTTTGAACATGACGAGGTGTTGTCCGTCGTCCCGGATGTAACTTACGGCAGCTATGTCGTGGATTGGCAAACGCACTAGTGTTTCCTGAAAAACAAAAAGGGAAATAAATCCAGAACTGAATCACACACATTTACATCTTTGTTTTTCATGTCAAGTGCAGGACAACAGAATAAGCTTTCACCTTTCTCGGACAAGAAATGGTGCAGCGTTCAGTTGACGAAAGCCAAGCCGTTTTTCTCATCAAGCACTTACCTCTCCGTCTCGTCTGACCACCTTGATCTGTTTGGCTGAGACTGACAGGATGGCATCGTGTTTGTTCTCCCTTGTGCTCCAGGGTAGTAAACCTTGCTTCTGGACACACCAAAAGGAACAACGTTGAGAGTAAGTGTTCACAAGTACATTCAACTTTTTGTGGGCTCAATGCATGAACAAGAGAGTGGTTTTTTTAAAACCAGCATCTGATCCACAGTACACGCGGGTAATTTTTCAATGTTTTTTGTATCTTCCACATCTCTTTATTTCTCAGTAGCTATTCAAGGGATATATAAGTGTCCAATGGGGCTGACTGCAAATAACTCTAGGTATGTACATGCATCCAATCAATAACACGGCAGGTGGATAAAGTAACACATATGAATATGACTTTCAAGTTTAAGAAGGACCACCAGTCCACCAGTACTTTTTCGTTTTATATTTTTTAAGATTTTTAATACGGCTGAATTTTTCAGTATGCTCCTTAGTGGGGCACTTCAGAAACTGTATTCCTGTCAAAATTCTTTCATAAAAGCTAACTCATGAACTATTTCTTGTTTAGCCAACAAGTAAATTTGACATTGAATCACATGAAAGTAGGTCGGTGAAACAAGTCAGACACATCCCTGGCCTTTCAGAACAAGTGCGAGACCCTCTCAGGTACTGTAGTTACCTTTCCTTTATCAACAATTCTAAGCAGCTCTGTCCGTTTGGTGGGATCCAGTCCGTATGGAACACTCGGAATGACCCCCAAGTACTGGAAGGAGGAAAGGAAGTATTTAAGAGCAAGGACTGTGACAGGACCATCTTCAGACCTGTAATATCAACCTCGAGGTCTATCTGATAGAAAATTCTGCCAGGAATTTGTCCTCAATCCTCCATCCTCTGCTGTGCAGGAACCCACTGGCATTCTAGTTTGGTATTTCAACTGACAAAGGGGCATGATTGAGCACCGAGTATACTGACAGTGCCAAGGCTAGGCTTTCACTTCCTCAACAATCCTGGAAATGAAATGTTCAAAAACTTCCTGGTGGGTTACAAGTATCTCGGGGAAGGGTTAAAAAATTGTTCAATATGAAGAAAAAAGAAAAACAAAACACGTACAGTATTTATTGACTAAAAGACCAGCCACTGGGTGCATGTAATTACTGGGTAAATGGCCCACAGTTATGGGATCAAATTTTCCCTCAACAGTATTGAACATATGGCCGTCGCCTTGCACTGGTTCATGCAAGGTGCTGGTACTAATGGGTGTATGATTGTTAAACATGCCAAAGCCTGGCTGTGATTCCTTTCACACCGTTCACAATAAGGGTCTCTGATCTGAAAGCATGTTACATTAAATGCTACATTGTGTGTGGCATGCGTGCCTGCAGAGCAGGGGCTGCATGGTACCATTATGTGTGTGCAAGTGATGGATGGGATCCTGGGGCAAATGAGTGAGTCATAGGGCCCGGAGAGACCAGCAAGCAAGTTCAAAGACAAGCACAATTTTAATTTTAATTCAAATAAGTACCGGGAAAGTGTTCCTTATCTGGCTTCCACCTTAGATCTTGTGCAAAAATTTAAGACTACATGTATGGGCCATGACAGCAAAAAATCCAAAATATGCATTTTCAAAGAAACTTTGAAAGTTTCTTCACTTCAAAATTAAGAGTTTCTTCATCAAGTTTACACTTGTGGGCAGTTTTCAAGTTATATTAAGGAAACTAAGTGGTACATGGATGGGGAACTCATTCGGTGAAGTGTTAGATTGCACATTTGCAACGTGATACAAAACTGTTCTTTATTAACCCTAACCACCCAAGGGTTGCTGGCCCTAACCCTCCCCATTCACACAAAGTTAAACACCCATATGGGACTTTGTGCACAGAGGCTGTTGGACTTTATTTTTCTGAGGTACATGTATGAAAAACCCAATGCAAAAGCCAGCTGTTAAGGGCCTACCAGACCTATCCCTACAGAATTAAACACTTTACTACTGTTTAATTCTGAGTGGTTGGGGAAGGTTAGGGTTAATATCTGTGACTTGTTCACGCTACATTTCCCAACTTTCAGCCAAACCCCAGACCTCCCCTTGACTGCAACAAGTGAGACAATGCTTGCAACTTAACCCCGACTAGTCATGTAAGGTTCTGTCTAGCATGTTCAATGGAGCGAATAACCACTGCTGCCATGGTACACAACATTTTTTGAGATTGTCCTTTTCCCCAGCCAAATCTTCAGCCGAAGAAAACATTCCAACCAGGAAACTGACGACAGAGGTACAAATACATTGTACATGCAATGGACACAGAGGAAACAAAGCATGAAAAAAAAAAACCAACAAAAATCTGACAAACGTGGTGTATGCACGAAAATCCCCTGACTCTTACATGTTCATGGGTGTGTTTTTACAATTCATTGTATGGTTCAATATTTTGGTACATTTGTTTGCATCCTTCTTCCGGAATCTCTAGGAGTTCCAATATTTAGTTAGTTTAGAAAAATAGAGAAGTTTCCAGTCATTGTACCATGACTGAATTTTTTAAAATCTTAATGTATTCATCTCATGATTTCTAACCAGGTCTGAAAAGTTGAAATCAAACTCTTACTACAAAAGCACAACAGAGGGCGTTTGCTCTGATTTGGTCACTAACGTAGTGTGCAAGTTCATTTGCATTTTTTCCACAGTGTTTGAGGATTAAACATCTATAAGAAACAAGTAAATATGACCGCGAAGTACCCTGAACAAATTGGAACCCCAAACGCAAAACACCCTCCCTCAAAGGAAGTAGAAAAAAAAAACTGAAACGAGAGAAGGTTTTTCAGAAAATGGTACAGACTTCATACCTTGATTGCAATTTCTAGAAAGCTGTCGATGAGGACCTGCGGATCCACCTTGTACTCTGGGGGACTCAGCTCCATGGTCTTGAGCGCCCGCCTGCCTTCCAGCGCAGTGTGGTGGTGGTGGGGGTGGTGATGGGCCAACTGTGAGGAGATTTCGTGAGAATCTCTGGACTCCCGATCCCGGGAGTGCCTGTTGATGCCCACGCGGCCTCTGTCCCTGTCCTTGTCCTTGTTGAAAAGACCCAGTAACCCTCCTTGCTGGAAAGGAAAAGTGGAGGAAAGAAAAACCCTGTCACTGAGTCAACCTACATGTACAGTCATCACTCAGTGTACAGTGCATTACACATACCATAATTGGGTGTGCTACTTATTTGATCAATTTGATTTATAAACAGTTGGACTCTGTTTCTTTGTGGTTTGCCTAATCCTACATAAAACACAGCCTACTAGTGCACTACTCATCCTAACAGATTCCAACAAACTCTGGTGTTTGAATTACACATGTAGGCTAGTTGGGGATTGTTAGTATTCTAATAAACGTTTGGAACACCTAAGGAGAAACAACACTGCCCCTAGTTAATGAAGTTCCTCCATCGACCAGGTTACAAAAGGATTTTGGAGGTTTAGGGAAGATACCGGGCCCAACCACTGTTCTTTCACCCTTGAAAAATTCAAGTGATGAGAGAATAAAAATGTGACACTGAGCTCCCACCAAAGTAGGAAATTAGGATTTAGTGAGCTATCTAGTAAAGAATAGACTGAAAGTTAGCGTTAAGTTTCAAAGTCCAAAAACACAAAATCAAAACAGACTCAGTTTAATATCCTGTAAATTTTTTTTTAAGTTAGTGGCCTTTTCTATCACTACATGTACATCTTGAAGTAAATGCACAGAAAACGCACATCACTAACAGGCTCCACGTGTTAAGGCAACGGTCCCAATTAAAGTTTGCACAGTTCCAACTATACAGTGTTGATTGGCTGGTCCAACTGCAGTGCTCTGGTTTGGAACTATGCATTTGCATGTAGTTGGGATCATCCCTATGGTGTGGTTGGGGCAGATGGTGTTTCTAAATAGGGTGTAACAGCAGGGCAGGAACTAAGTGTTGAAAGGACAAGGCAATTTCTCATTTGCAAAGGCCCCTTTTTCAGAAAATCAACTTGTCTACGGGGACATTTCAATGGGCATTGAGGCACAGCCAGGCTCTAGCTACATGTAGTTACTTGACTACGAATGCCTAAATGAAATTTATATTATAAATTTGTTAACAGCTACATGTACATTATACATATATGGTAACTAAAGGTTATAATATCTTTGTTACGCCCCAACTATAGCCTAAGTCCCAACTATAGTTGGGACTGTCCCAACTGTAGTGCTGCAGTTGGGCTGGCCCAACTATTGTTGACCAATGTCTGTGGGAAATGTCTTAACATTATCCAAGTCAATGTGTCTCATACTTGTAAAATGTGGCACTTCATCTGTTCATCTAGCCCTATGACATGACATTTGTAAACAATATGACTTTGGCACATGCTGGGCACATCATGCGCACAGAACCTCTCTGCTGTAGTTGGGCTGGCCCAACTGTAGCACTCTAGTTGGGACGGGCCCAACTAACTATAGTTGGGACTAATGCTATAGTCGGGGTGTAACATTTTCAAACATGATGTTTTAATTCAGAGTAGGCCCCTACAAATCACTACAAAGTGGTAATTTATGGAGGTACTGATATGTTCCAATGGAATTTACAAATATTTTGACAAAACAGAGAGAAATGGGAACATTACAAGTGGACTCACAATAAAGGTAATAAATCATTCTCAAACATGCCAAAGTCCAGAGCAGGCACTAGTGCAGGATTATTCCACAATGATCAATTCCTGATTATGTTAAATGCATACATAGCTCACTATATAGTGTACATCTTATCTACACACGTGAAAACTACAAATAAAAAAGACGTAAACGGGCAAAACTCCATTTTCACTTTTATCACGAAATCAGTGCAATGACGGGAATACTGAGTTCACATGAGCAAATTTACTCAGTGTAGTCTGGGTGTGGTCACTTCGTTTGAGACTTTGGGGGCTTAATTCAATGAAATATCTCAATATCCTTGAAGCTGTATTATAATGCAACAAAAACAAAACGTTTTGCACAATTTAATTTTAGCGAATTTACAGGTAACTTTAAAATCTTGAGAGCACCCCGAAAATGACTTCGTCGGCCATTTTGAATTGAGCTCGGTCCAAAAAGAGATGATCTCGTTTAAAACAAATGCAATAATTTCTGATAACTCTTACCTTTTTGGACGAAGACTTTGGAGCAATATCCTCTTCCATGCCCATGACATGAATTCCTAAATTATAGAAAGGTTTGATTTGGCGTTTCCTTTCCAAAAATGCATAATTACGAGGTCCTTTCGCATATGTACATGCAGTTTCAACGTGTCTGCGTCGTCTGCAACATTCCCAGCTGCCAAAACAACAGAACAAAACACGGGGAGTTGACGGGTACCCTGTTTATACCGTGAGCTATCGAAAAGGAAGAGGCGTTCACCATGTAACTAAGTGTACGTGGATTTCCCCATGTGTAAAATGAATCACTCCCAGGAGGCAGAAAGGAATGATGCAGTGGGCGATTGTATTATGGACTGAACAGGGATGTCTGGCCTGGGCCACACTGATGAGCTGAGTGGCATGGAAATGAAATAGGGGAGTGGCGAGACCAGAGGGGGGTGCATGGGTTTCCGAATAATAGACCTGCGTGCCCCTGTTTCCTGTTACCCTCAAAATACTGAAAATGGAAAATTCAGTATTATCAAATTCAGATTTCCCGGGGAGTCTGCTCTCAAAATTGCAAATTGACTTGTTCCAATTTTTTGGAGCTCAGTAAAATTCCGAAATGGAGGGCGGGGCTTAAGGAAGTTACGCCTGCTGTGGCGCCGTAAACAGAATTTCAACAAAGCTAAGGATAATAATCTTGTGAACTAAATATAAACCATTGGACATGGACTCGCGCTGAATCCGCTGTGACCCCTTTTTACATACAACTGTCATACAACTTGGCAATCTCCATCATTAAACAGTAAGCTACAAACCAACATAAAATAAGACAGTTAATCATTATTTTAATTAATAAAATGTGAATGTTTTATTGTTGTTACTTTATCAGTGGGTTTTAAAAATTATTTTGTTAGCGGGTTAATTTTGCAGAGGGCCCTAGGGCCCTTGGGGGACTCATTTTCTGGAGAGTCAAAACAGACAGACTATCAAGGACTAAGTATCACCAGATTTTTCCCTCTCTAATTTTCTCAGGGGGTGGGGTGGGGGACACAGGGGAAAACCCAGGGGAGGGAGCGTGGCACTCCCCATCCTGCACTGTTACACCACTTTCGCATATATGTGCTCTGCGATGAGACAACTTGTACACAGGGGCTGTTGGAAAAACCGCACCGGGGCCCGGAATCACCCACAACAGACACATAAAATGTAGGTTGTACAATGTACATGTACGTACAGTACATGTAGGTCTGCGGGATCTCCACCAAAGATGGTACACACACAACAGGTGAGGGCGCTAACAACTTTCGCTGGTTATCGGATTCAGAGGTTTGCATATATAAAAATATATCTCGATTCAGTGCCACTGCTAGGCGCTAGGCTGACGGGTGATGGGAGGACGTAAACTCTCTGTTAAGTAAGTGGCATGTATCAGTTCCTGAAGACCGATTTTCATTGGTTAAACTCATTGACATGTCTAAAATTCAAGAACATGAAGAACCTTGGACATGCTGGACCTTTCTTTTCCTTCTTAGTCATTGTTCCATCATCCATCATGTCCATCTTATCCACGGAAAACCATCCATGATCCAGACTGATTGATGGCGACATCGACACCATAGTACTAGGTCTGCATGTAACATGTGAAACATGATGTGGAGCCATAATTATAATTTTGCTAGCTTATCATGATAGTTTTCTCAATCAGTGAGGCAGAATGCGCATGTTGTCGTGTATGTCAATGTATGTGCTGTGCACGTGGCTCACATCATGTATACGCCTACCCTTCCATAGGCATGATAGGCCCCCTATTGATTGCATGTTTTCATTGGTTGCTATAACCCTGCTAACAGCTGTATACATGTGCACAAGTTAACAATGATGTCTGGAAAAATTTTGGCCAGAGCATCTGTGTAATAGACGAGGTTTCCTTTCATCTTCTTTCTGCGTTTTGTTTGCAGGATGTCCTTAGGCTGCTAGTGTTCAGAACTTGCTTGCATAGGACACTTGTAGGGTGACGGCAACCCAACCATGTCTGGTAACGTCGATCAAATTTTCCAATGGCTTGCCACCAACCTCAGCCTACACCTCCCCGAGTGGTTGGAGCAGAGCCTGGCTAGCCTGGACTACAACCTCTTGTCCTGGCTGCTGTGGCTGTTCGCCCCCATAGTCATGGCCTTCCTGCTGCCTGTGGTCATCCTGGTGATGATCTATGGGTCCGTGCTCTTCCTGCATATCTACAAGGCACGGCACCGTTTGGCCGACGCCTACTACAGCAGCGGCACGTGGGACTGGGCCCGCATGGTGCTTGCGACGTTCTGGGAGGGGCAGGGCAATATATGGCATGGTAAGTACCAGTTTACTTCGGAGAGAGACGATGGTAGTATCCCCCTTCCCCCAAAACTTTATGAAAAATGGGAAGGGATACGAGTACTTTGCCCATGAGAAGGTGTACATGTCCCCCTCATTATCATCAACATTGACTTGCTGTCAAATTGAACTTTTTTTGGTTGCTGTCTATCGGAATGTGGCCCCCTTTTGGCAAAAACCCTGCCTACTTTGGTGACGGTGAGTATTTCAAATAATGATTCAGCAAATGAAACCATTATCTGCGTACATATGTGAAGATGTGTAAGTGAGATATTTGTTGGCCGAGGATTGTACAAGTGTGATGTGTTTTTTCCACTCCTTTTTTCTAGATTGTTGGTTACACATTGGGTGGATGCCTTGCTGTTTTTCAGATGTCTGCAAGTTCATCCCCGGACTCATGCGCTACTGAATATTAGTGTTGTCGCCATATTAGTGTTGCGGGGAGTCAGGTTGGCGTGGTGGTTCTGTCCTCGCTTTCCACCTCTGCAGTCTGGGTTCAAATTCCGGCCTGGTCCACATCGTGACATGTGGATTAGGTTTGCAGTCCCTACCTGATTCTGTGGGTTTTACCCAGAATATTCCTCTGGGGTTTTCCTCCCACCTCTCCTTCTCCTAAAACTGTAACTGCTTCTCATTGTCTCCTCTCTACAGGTCTCTTCAGGCTTGCGAGCCACAGTGCCTAGGGCACTTTTGAGGAATCCTTGGTGTCATTACCAGATATGATTAATAAAGTTCATCACAAGTCCCGTCATAAACCCCTTCACAAGTTGAGTCACAAATCTTTTCACTAGGCCAGTTACTGGAATGAACAATTTCAAAGGAATGCTGTTGTCACGGTTCAGTTGAATAGCTGGTGACTCCTTGCGAGACTAAATGACCTTGTCATTGACTTGCAGGGACTTGTGATTGACTGGACTATGGCATTGCTACACAATAACAAAAGAAAATTGACTTCTGGTGAAATGGAACAATGATAGTGCACTTCTGGGAAATAAATATTAAACTATTGATCACGTCGCATAGTCTGTCAGTTGGCCTCCGGGCAATTTTCACTGCAGGCTATGACATTGTCGGCCTGGAGAATATACCCCAGGAGGGGGCAGCAGTCCTAATATACTACCATGGAACTATTCCCCTTGACTTCTACTACATCATGGCCAAGGTTCTGCTCTTCAAGAGCCGCCTCATGCAGCTCGTTGGTGACAGGTTCTTATTTGGGATTCCAGGTGAAGATTTAAATATTTATACATGTATGCATTATTGGAGTCGTGATTTCCACTCTCTAATCTTTCACTTTTATGTAGAAGTATACTCCTTAATAAATTTTTCTGCGTGTTGTAGTTCTAGGGACTGTTTGGTATGTATGTTTATTGAACAGAGACGATAACCTACACCGTCCACTGCAGCATCATTTTCCAGACTTTTCTTCAAAGTTGCGCTGTGGACTTGCATTTCGCTCATTTTCCGGACAGGGTTTAGAATTCTCCTGAAGGTCTTTCATGTGACCCGAGGGTCAGTACCGGAGTGCGTGAACCTCTTGAAGGAGGGGCACATCCTGGCCATTGCACCCGGGGGCGTTAGAGAGGCACTATTTGGTGACGAGCACTACGAGCTTGTTTGGGGCCAGCGGTGCGGCTTCGCCAAGTGCGCGCTTGAAGCCAAAGTGGTAAGACAAAAGTGGTCCTTAACTCTTCATGACCCTATGTCCCATCTGATGCTTCTTTTGAAGTTGATTTGGATCAGTGAGTTTTAATCCACGGTCTCTTTTTTGTTCATGCTAAACCAACACATTTAAATCTAACCCCCCCCCAGTTTTTTCAAAATCCGCCATGAATTTGTCAGAAAATTCTGTAGGGTTGCAGAGAAAGGACCCTGGCAGTGTTAATCTACTGAGCATGAGGCTTGAAACTCTTTGAAAATTGAAGTACAAAGAATGTGGAATGAATGAAGTTGAATCTCGTCTCCTGCCTTTTGATCATAAAAGTTAAAACAAAGTTGAAGAAATGCTTTCATTGTTCTACTGTACAGAAATTGCTCACGAGAGTCTTGACTTTGATGTCTTTCATTCATTTTTTTTAGCCTATTATTCCAGTTTTCACCCAAAACTGTCGAGAGGCCTTTAGGACTCCCTCGTGGGGTCGCAGGTATCTTCAAACCCTTTATGAAAAGACGCGTCTTCCTCTTGTACCAATTTATGGTGGATTTCCAGTCAAACTAAGGTGAGTTGAAACTTTAAGTTTTCTTTGGAACCACGATGCGGACTCCACAAATAACAAAATGAAACTATCAACGTAATTTTATTAAAGATCTTAATTGTGAAAGTATCGTGAAAGATTAATCTATCTTTGGTTTTTAAATTTCCACTCCAGAGACTTTATATTGTTACCTTTTTGTTAAGGACATTCATTGGGAAGCCAATACAACATGACGAGTCACTAACTGCAACTCAACTTGCAGAAAAGGTAGGGTTGCTGTACTGTCAGATCTCCAGATGGAGGGTTTTGAGGAGTGAGAGTGATGCTGTTTAGAGTCGAGCTGAGAGAGGGTTAGGAACCAATGTACACGTTTTGCTGAACTTACCGGTGGCAATAGCAGTTTATTTTGTTCACGTGTGTCATCTCTCTTAGACTAGCTCTGCCATCAGGGAACTAATCCGCAAGCACCAACGTATTCCTGGAAATGTCTTCCAGGCGCTGCTCGACCGTTTCAGGTGATGTCCAGAACGTGTGCTTTACAAAAATGAACTGTTAAACCTCTAAAAGAGGTCCCTCCTGCCTCTGCTGGTGCTCATCAGCTGTGATCTCGTAGGGGATTAGAGGGTCGGGGGTTGGAATCAAACTGCTGGTCAGATGTTCTGCCCTTGGGCAAGCCACTTTCCTGTTCCACTTGCCTCTCCAGCTCTCCACCCATTGCAGAGAATGGATGACAGCATTAGCTTTGAAGTGACCGGCAGTGGACTTGCATACCATCGGCGTAGGTGGGAGGTCATGGGGTAGTATGCGCCAAGAGGTTTGTCCATTTCAAGACAAAGAACCAATAATAAACACTGGCCTGGCCCAAGCCAGTGTGGAGACAGCAGTGGGTGGGCTTTGGATAGACTGGACTTTCTGTGGGTTGGTTGAGGCTACTGTAAGCTAGTGATGCATTCATTGGTAGGACACTTGTTTGAGGGGCAACAAGGTGCAATGATGAAATAGGCTAAAACATCTCAGGTTTGAAGACCTTGGGGGCGTTCTATTTTGGTGCACTTTTTCCTGTTTTTATTAAAAGGAGATATTCACAGTTTCAGCATAATACAGGATTTGTATTAAATATTTGGGATTTTTGGGTGCCTTTTTTATTTAAAGTTCTTTCCACGCACATTTTCCATTTGCAGCAATGGACAATAGGCTCAATGTCAGGTGGTAGCTGGCATTAGGTTGGGTTAAGGTTATAATTTGTTTTATATCAAACCGGTATTTTAACATATTTTCTGTTATTTATTCAAGAATATATATTTGGCTCAGATGTTACAATTAGTAATAAACACAGGAGTGTAGCATTGAATTGTTCTCATCTGCAGTGGAAGTGGAATTCCATTTTAAAAGCGACAGTGTTTTACATGGTGGTGTTCGAGTCGAGGCTCGGCCCAGGCTTTAAGTGCATTTGGTTTCCAGTCCATACTCGTAGGTTTTCTCCGGGTACTCCGGTTTCCTCATGCCTCTATAACTAGACATTCTTCCTAACTCCGTAACGTGATGCTGATATATAAAGGTTATGAATAAACGTATAGTTATTGGCGCAACTAGCCTGAGTGGCTGGAAGCGCCATTAAAACGAAAACAACGACAACATTAGCTTTTACCAAGAGTTATTTTTGTTGTCACGTCTTTGAATGGGAACAAGCTTATTTTGAATTAAAGTGGTCTCAGCAAAATCTAGTATGTTATCCTCCAAGGCCGGCTGCTTGTAGCTAAACTCTCCTTGCGACCCACGTCACGTTTGTGGGTGTACTTGCGGTGCTTACAGATATTTTAGTCGAGGCCAAAAGATGGAACTCTTTTGTGAATGTTCTCTTGTTCAGTGGCAATGGAAAAATATTATCAAGTCGCTTTTGAAATTTGTTCTCAGGCTCCATGTCGTGTACCGTGTTCTGATACGAGCCAATAGATTGGTGCCTTTCTGAATAAATTGTTACGGGAAGTGTGTCCGAAGTCAAGCTCTGTTGGATGGCCTTGACGTGGGGATATGTAAAAGTCCACACCAACACCATGATTACATCTGTCAATGGTACGTTCTCTGGGATACTCCGATAGGTTCACTTGCTGTGCGCAAGCGCTAGAAACAGTCTCTCGTTGTGTTGGGGTTTAGAAACTGTTACTACTTCACGAATTGCTGGGGGATAAGAAACGGTCACCATGACGATGCTTAGTTACATGCAAAATCGTGTTTTGCCCAAATCTTGCCTTCGTCCCCGCGGTGGCTTCCGGGCTTCACTTTCGTGATTCTAGTTTCCGGAGTGAAGCGCGGTTCTCAAACTTGTGTCGTGATGAAGTGGAACAGTCGTGATGAACTGTTCGCGAAATTGACCAATCATGTACTTGTGAAAACAGCACCGAACCAATAACGTGCGTCATCGAAACACGATCTATAGGGCTATTATTAATGCACGAAGTCTGTGTCCATTCATGCCGGGATAGATTATGTCGACTGATGTACAACGGGGTCACAAATTACAAAGATGGTGGCTAGCGCGCAAGGCCAGATAATTTTCAATAGCCGGCTGACTGTTTCGGTTCATTTGAATACTGAAGGTTTGGCGTATTCAGCCATACACAAACGGTACATGTCTTTTTTCTTTTCGGTGGCACAACGTACCAGGAGAACCTACGTACACGCAAATGCAGCGACGGATTGTGCTGAACACTGATATTCACATCACCGTCGCCCTTGGCCTCGTCCGCTCCACTGCTGTACTTCGTACGTGCCACTTCCTGCCTGGCAACCCATCACATCTCCGCGCGATACACGTTGCTATCTATCTTGGCAACATGGCCACAACGGACCCCCTGGACGATAACTGTATACTGATGGAAGAGAGTCAAGATCTGCGTCAAAATAGGCCCACAGGTGTCTGCTACAAGTGCGTACAGTTATGTTCCTCCTTTATCCTTCCATCAATAATCCGATACCCAAATCCATCTGCCTCCTGCATCTGCATGAATGGCAGGGTCGTTGGGTAGCACAGAGTAGACTATACATGTGTGCTTATCAGCATTCAATGATGTTCAACGGACGTTCAAACCAAGACAAGTCCACGTATGCTGGATTAGCATGCGCTAATTTTGAGGACATATTAATTTGGGATATGCACTATACGTGCATTACACATACA